ATCACTAGCTAAATAGCACTTGCTGAATAGCTCTGAATTGTGGGCAGAGTAGGGAAAAAGCCATTGTACCAAATGACCGAACTGTTGGGGCTCTTTGTTGATTCTAGCATCCATAAGCAATTGAGTGTTATATGGGTCTGTATAGCAAGAATCAGTTTGTAGTTCATTACATGTGGTTTCAATGTAGGTGTCCTCCTCACGTTGTCTCTAGCTTATGATCCCTGAGAGCAGGGACCATGTCTGGAATCCCAGGACTTAGCACATTGTCTAGGATAAAATAAGTGTCCAGTAAATGTTTGAGTGGATGAATAACTTTGGTCCTGTCTCCCCAAGGCTACATTTCTTGATGGGGTAGATCATAACTTGTTTGCTTTGTGTCCATCCTCGTGTATTAGTTAATAAGCAGTGGGAACTCAATAACTGATTGATGTAGAAGAAAATACTTGGCCTTGAGATTTAAGGAAGCTACCCTGGTGGATGCTCGTCTGTGTTCCCCAGAAATAAGAGGACTGTTAAAGGTTTTTAAGAAACAGCTTCATGACTTGGGCTCAAGATTTAAAAGAGCCAGAAGACTTAGATTTGGGTTCTAATTCTGCTACTTACTGGCTTCGTGGCTTTAGAAAAGTCAGTTTCCTCACCTGTATGATGGGGATAAAAATTAATTACCTCATAGTATGGTAGTAAAGATCAAATAAGAGCATCTGTTAAAACACTTAGTGAACTGTAATACACTATCTAGATGTAAGATGGGGTTATCACTCTGCCATTTCTAAGCGTTAGTGATTAGAGAGTATATTGATGTCTTTACAAGCAATACTGGCTGATTATAGCATTTTCCTGGTTTTCACTGCTGAGCAGCTGAAACTCTGATAGAGATATTTCAGTGTTAACCTAGACTTTTAACATTTAATGATTTTCTTTTGTAAAGGTTGGCCTCCAGCACCCTGTCTTCATTGATACATTGGATTGAGACAGAGCTGGGGCAGAACCTTGTTTTTCTTGATGGACGCATCATGATTTAAAGACTCTTGCATGTGTATAATAATTTGAGTTACACATTGAGTTTATGGGAACACCATTCTTATGGGGAAGAAGCTTTGAGATGGGAGGCTGAGGTGGGGACGTCCTCAGACTCTGAGTACATGAGTACCCTGAGGCTGCAGAATCTCCTTTCTCCCTGGAATCCTTTCCCTTCAGCAGTGTTTCTGATATGGAGCAAAAGGAGTCTGTTTGCAAAACAGCCTCTTTTGGAATTGGTTCCTGAGCTTACCCCAATGAAAGTCTGCCTGTCCTGGAGTTGTTTCATGAATCTTTTTCCCCTAGAAACTTGAGTTGAAAAGCTGCCTTCTAAATAGGTTGAAAGGAATTGCTTTGAGCAGAGAGGAAACATGATCATGAGAAAGCTTTTTGAAGAGTGATTTCTGTGTTCCAGCTATGTTTGTGGTGATCATTTTCTAGAAACTTAGACCTTCCTTCCCCATCCATCCCATCTTAGATATCGCAGCCATCTCTCAAGACACTACACTTTCAAATTGTTATTTCATGATGCATATTCTGTCTCTGAAAAAGCAGCAACTCTTGACAAGTAAACAAGTGATGGCCTCACTCTTTTAAGTGTTCTATATTCATCCTGAAAGTCACACTCTGACTTACCTGGACTATACCTTAAGCTGATAGTCCCCATCCCACACTTTGACAGACCTAACAAGAAGAGCCTGTGGCCATAATCTAGAAATCTGAGAAATAAATGTACGTTCGTGAAGTTGACATCTCTAAAAGTGAGTCCTTTAGAAACCAACAAGAAGCTACTTTTGAGAGTCTCAATACAACTTTTAAGCATTTTATTCGTGTATCAAGAAAGAGAAAAGAGATTAAAGATCAAATTGTTTAAACAAAATAAAAATGGGGAAGTAGGGGGGCAGTTCAGTATATTGGAGGCTTACAAGTGTGGAACTTGATGCCGATGGATTCTCGTTTTCTTACTTAGAAAACGCAAGTCATTTCATGAGTGATTTAACCACCAAAACAAGTGCCTGCCCAGAGTTTTATATGCCAAGCGTTAACAGGGTGTGGAAGTACAAAGGTAAATAAGGCATAGAGAAGGGGATTCAGACACATAATACACTTTCAGTGCAGTGTGGCACAGAAGTGCTAGGGGGAATCGGGCTGTCAGAGAGGGCTTCCTGAAGATGATACCCAACTTACGTCTTAAAAAGTTAGGAGTTCACCAGGTGAAAGAGTAGGGGAAGGCCCAGCTCACATGGTTTTGAGTAGAGGCTCTGGAATGAGCAAAGATGGAGGTGACACTACATGGACTGTGTAGGGAGCCTCCAGACCAATGGAGCTAAAGAAAGAGGCAGGGTTCCGGTCATAGGGGTCTTAACTGCAGTACTGAGGAACTTAAACTTTATCCTGTAAGGGATGGGGCACATTGAAAGGCTTTTAGTTAGGAGAGTGTAAGGATGAGAACTGCATTTTAGATTAATCATCCTGCCAGCAGGGTTAAGAATAGATTGATGGAAACATGAAGTGTGGCCAGGAAGCCATTCATATCTTGGTGAAGGATCTAAGCCCATACCACTTTGCCTCACCCTTCTCTGCTTTATGTGTTTGGTGTAGGATATGTTGGTACAAAGCCAGTGGGCAGATGAAAAGAATTGATGAAAAAGAGTATCAGAAGTGACAGCCTTCGGGGTTAATTTTAATATGACAGCTGTTGAAGCCTAACAGAGTCTGTAGGCCTTTGCAAATTACATGCGTGCATTTCATTAGTTTCACTGTGGCCTGTTGCATAAATACATTGGTGAGAGCTAGGGAAGATTTCATAGATGATATTTACCTGTGATCCTCCAGGGCCTGGAGACCTGTCCCAGTGGGCCAGTATGCCTCCAGTTTTCTGCTTCCTGGTAAGTATCCTCCTGAGATTCCACCAAGGAAACAAGGAGGAAAGGAAGCAGTGAGCTGTGTGTGAGGGGTTGGTAGACATCCTGACATGTATGCTGAGGGCTCCAGAGAAGCACAGCAAAGCAGGAGCCAGGAAAATTTGCCAAGTCAAGTGCTGTTTTAGATAGAGAGTAAAGCAGCCTAGCATCAAGGCCCTGGCATTTAAAGAGTCCTTGTCTGTACCAAAAACCTGTTGGCCATCAAGTCAATTCAGACTTGTAGCAACCCTGTAGGATGGAATAGAACTGCCCCCTAAGGTTTCCAAGTAGCAGCTGGTAGATTCGAACTGCCGACCTTTTGGTTAGCAGCCAAGCTCTTAACTTGTCTATACAACCCTCAAGTATTTTTTGCATATTTCTCACATTGTTTGAGGGAAAGTTTCCTCCTTGCCATTCCAAACAGGTGACTTCCAAGAACGAAGAGTAGGAATTTCTTAAGCATAAATGTAGCCTTATACTGTATAGCATTGGTTTTCAAACTTTGGTGTTCAGCAGACTTAACTTGAGAGCTTGCTAAACAGAGATTGCTGAGCCTATCTCCTAAAGTTTCTGAGAGTTTCATGGTCTAGAGTGAGATCTTGGAATGTATATTTCTAATAAGTTCCCAGATGATACTGATGCTGCTGGTCCAGGGACCACACTTTGAGAGCTGCTGCGTTATAGGCATTAAAAATGACCCTCCCAAGGATTTAAAAAGTCTCATTGCAGCTCTTGGTATAACCTTAATGGAAATCACTGACCTGGAAGATAAGTAAGACCCAGCCCTACGCAGCACTAATTTTGATTCAGTATTGATTTACTGAGTCACTACTGTGTTCACGACCGTTTTTGTTATGGAGATACAAAGAGGAAAAAAGATTCAGCCCTTGTCTTGGTCTCTCTAATAAAGAATTGTCATTTAAGGCAAAGCATGAGAAGTGCCGAAAGGGAACTACACCATGCAGCAAGAGTTCCAAGGTATATGAGTAATCTGGAAAGACCTCATGGAGGATCTGTGTTCTGGTTATCTATTGCTGCATAACAAACTACCCCAAAACTCAGTGCTTAAAACAGAAACCAGTTATTTTCTCTCATAATTCTGAGAGCTGACTGGGCTCAGCCGGTTGGTCTTTCTGTTCCATGTGTTACTGAATGAGACTGCACTCGTTTGGAGGTTCAACTGAGCTGAACTGTCCAAAATGGCTCCCTCACATAGTAGTAGTTGGTGCTGGCTGTGGGCTTGGAATTCATCTGAAGCTATTGACTGGAGCACGTCAGGTCTCCTCCGTGTGGCCTCTTCATAGCATCATGGCAGGGCTTTGAGATGAACATTCCAAGCACATAAAAGTGGAATCTGCAGATCTCTTAAGACCCAGCCTTGGAAGTTACAACATTGTCACCTCCGCTGCATTCTATTGGTCAAAGCAAGTCACAGAGCAAGCCCACATCAAGAGGAGAGAAATGTACTACCTCTGGATGGGAAGAGTAACAAAGAATGTGTAGCCATCTTTAATCCACCATAAGCTGATTGAGGCAGGCCTTAAAGGATAAAGGGGGTTATGATGCACATAACTTTCTAGAGGAAGGGTGTTCTAGAGGAAGAAATAGCAAGTCATCAGTTTGACTATGGGGAGAGCTATACTAAGCGGGCCCGAGAAGATGGAATGGAACCATATTACACAGGCCTTTGAACAGCAGATGGAAGCTTGGACTTAAACAGATTTTGAAACGGAATGTGGAGGACCTGTCAGTAATTTTGTTAGCATGCTGCAGAGTTGGGGAATGTCCCTAAAACTCAGGGCTTCACACTAGTTCTTAATACCTTTTCCCGTAAGCCCAGTGTTAAGAGCTTTGGATTTGGCTGCTGCTTCTAAGGCATGGGAAGGGATGCTCACTCCTTCGGTTATTGTAAATTGTGCAGAGTGAGCAGTTTGAAGGATAACAGAACCCTAGCTGTGCTGCAGGACTGGCCAGATAGGGGCTTAGGAACGTGCAGCTTTATGCCAGACCTAGCTGTGTTTCTTCCTGCTGCATCAAAAGGTTAGTTACTTAGTCTCGCCCTTGTCTTTTCCCCCACAGTAACCCTCCACTGAGTGAAGAGATGTTGCCTCCTGGGGAGTGGATGTGTCACCGGTGCACTGTTCGCCGAAAGGTAATAATGCTACTTTTGAAGACCTTGGTCAGAATGCTAGATCTAGAGCTAAGACGGCCTGGCCCCGAGGGCATTTTTGTCCCTTCTTCTTGCTCTTCCACCCCTGGAATCACTCCTACTCTCCCCATGGTGACTGTTTGGAATCCAGTAGGGCCTAAAAATCTAAACATGGGCTGTGAAGTGAGCAGAAAAGGCATCTCAATTACTGAGACATGATCAGTCACTAGTGACAGGAGGAGTCTGATCTTCTGTTGATCTCTTGATAGTGGGCTGAAGAAAAAGAAGGCTGCTTCTCTAGCTTGATTAAAAAAAAAGAATTTCCCTTACCCCAAGGCAAATAAGTCACTGGTATCCAGAGGCTTGGCCAGGTATATGGGGTTGGGAGGACTTTAAACCCACTTGTACCTCAGGTTGCCTAATCTCTCTTTAGCTCCCCTTCCCTTAGTCTTAATAATTCAGTCCTGGCTTTGAGAATGTGGCTCATTATTTTCTACTTTGAGAGTTTTTGTGGGGTGTAAAAGCTGAATTCTCTCTTAATCAAAAAAGGAAGTAGGTGTGTTTCCACCCGGATTGAGAGACCGAACCCTCAAATTATAGACTGTAGATTAGGATTTGTCTGTGAATTATAAACCACACACACACACACACACACACACACACACACACACACACACACACACACTTCTTCCACCCTAAGTGCACCCCGAGCAACTTTCCTTTGTTGTGACATCACCTCTGTTTTTCTGCCCCCTGTGCATGATGTCACAATGAATGACGACTTCCTTTGTTGCAGAAACAGGATGAGGAGATGATTCAGAGATTGTGGTTTGTGTGTGTAACAGTCTTCAGCGTTTAAGAAGAAAGTAAATGTTAGGCAGACATTATTTTTCAAGTATTTGCTCAGGGTTCCTGTTAAAAAGCAAGCCAAAGCCAAGCCAACCACCTAACCACAGCTGCAGTTCAGTTTCTCCGAAAATCCACAAACCAGGCTGTCCTCCAGCCTGACCATCTTCCAATGATCCTTTCCTGTGCGTGCTCAATTAGATTACAGCATGGCCAGTTACAGGTACCTGCCAGCCAGGAGACCTTTCAGAAACTTGCCACTCAAAGAAGCTGGACCTAAAAGGGTTGGGAAGAGCTGAAGGGAAAGAGATGAAGCCAGGACAAAGGGATGTAGAAAAGGAACTAACATTATTTTAGTGCCCATTTTATGCCAGTCATTTTGCTTATGTTATCATTTAATCCATATAGCTGTCTGGGGTACAGGTAGTCATATCTCCATTTTAAAAATGAAGAAACTGAGGCTCAGAAATGTAGAATTAACTTTCCCAAGGACTTGAAAGAATTGACAGAGCCAATATTTGAGCCAAGTTCTGCCTCACTCCAAAGCTCTATGACCTCTTCATCAGTTTCTAGAAGCAGAGGTGCTTGCTGGGAATTATAGTATGCCTTTCTCTAACAGTGTACGTCTCCTGAGATGCCACTCTGACCTGCTCTCACATGGGCCTTTTTGCCTACCAATGCCAAATCTCCCTTTTCCACTACCACCACCACTGCCTGCCCTCTGGCCTCCAGTAGTTCCTGAAGTAGATTGAAATGATACATTCCCTGCGCCTCATCAACCTCTGATGTTCAGGTCCTACCATAATCCCTAGTGGACAGTAGAAGTTCCCCAACTCAGAGCCATCCCTTCATATATGTGACCCTCTTTATCATTCCCACCGTATCCCTGAGAGGAGGAGAGAAAAGGTTTTACTAGTCTCACTTTACAGATGGAGAAATTGCTACCTACCAGCCTGAGTCATCCAAGGTCAAAGGGAATCTGTGACAGAACTGGGACAAGATCCCAGGTCTCCTGACTGGAGACCAGTGTTAAACCCTCATTTAACCATTCTATTTGGAGTCCTGGAGGAAAATACATTTTATCAGTTATCTAATCCTATCCAGTACATTTAGTCTTCTTTCATTTCCTCACCTGCCTGTTCTAAGAGGTGTCATTTTTAGAGTTCTAGTTAAACTTGAAACATGGAGAGCCACCATTCTTGGACATCATGATTGCTGGAGTTCCCTCCTCCACGCACCACCCCTCCACTTTGTAGCATAGCTACATTCCTTGCCAGCACCCAACCTCCCAGTACAGTGAGCTCTACCTGGCTGTTTTCTTTTACCTTTGCTTTTGCAGGCTTTCTTTACTTTGAACAAAGGTTTAAGAACCATTCAGAAGGTCAGGATGATCCAAGACAAACTACAGGTGCAGGCCTGTGTGTATTGTTGAATAAGTTTATGCTCATTGTGTTAACTTTTTAGCCCTCTGTACTTTGCATTAAGGTGTTGTGTGTCATATGATGAGTTAGAGTAAATGGTGTATAATTTGTATAGTTGTTTCTAACTTTCCATGTTTTTTGGTGATTTCCCTCCTGCAAACATTATTCAGCTATAGTTTTGTAAACTTTAACAGACCAGTGTTCCATTCCCTAGGTGGATGATTCTGTGATATGTTAGGATTTTTCATAGTTTTGGTTAGTGGTCTAGCAGGACTTTGTAGCATCCATCTCTTTCTGTTTTGTGGTATTTGTATGATGGGCCCACCTGTTCATTTGCACAGAAACGAGAGCAGAAAAAGGAGCTGGGCCATGTCAATGGACTGGTGGACAAATCTGGCAAACGGACTACATCCCCCAGCAGTGACACTGACTTGTTGGACAGATCCGCTAGCAAAACTGAACTCAAGGCCATTGCCCACGCCCGGATCCTGGAGAGGAGGGCCAGCCGACCTGGCACACCCACATCCAACGCCAGCACAGAGACCCCCACCTCTGAGCAGAACGACGTCGACGAGGACATCATTGACGTGGACGAGGAGCCAGTGGCAGCAGAGCCGGACTATGTGCAGCCCCAGCTGAGGCGGCCTTTTGAGCTGCTGATCGCTGCTGCCATGGAGCGGAACCCCACCCAATTTCAGTTGCCCAATGAACTGACTTGTACCACTGCACTACCAGGTTAGCCAAACCATCGCATCTCCTCCCCTACTCCAGCCTCCCCAAAGGATTATTGTCCAGCTAAAAGGCAGTGCTGCCTGCAGGGTCACTGTCTCAACTTCCTGCTCTTGGTTCTGCCTGGAGAGATTTTTGAAGGTTTTAGCTATTACAGTGCCTGTTCCGTTTTCCATTTTCTGACTTCTAAACTCATTTCCCACCCCTTTCCAGTACTCATTTTAAAAATGAAAACACATGAAAAGACTTAACAATGAAAAGTTTCCCTCTCACCTCTGTTTGCCATCTGTCTAGTTTCTACCTCCTGCCCCTCACAGATAACGGCTATTTAGTTCTTGTGTATACTTGTAGAATTTCTTTGTGCATATGTAAGTAAATACAGACACATGCTTGTGTGTCCCCTTTTATTTAAACAAAAATAGCATACTTATTTTGTTGTTGTTGCAATTTTACTTTTTTTAATGGTAAAAATATACATAACACAATATTTGCTGATTCAACATTTTTCAGGTGTACAGTTTAGTGATATCAATTAAAAATAGCATACTACTTGCTATACTGCCTTTTTCACTTATGCTCTAGAGATCTTTCCATATTAATATAGAATTTCCTCAATTTTTTAAATAATTGCATAATAGTCCATTATACAGATTTATCATCATTTAATCAGTTTCCTATTAATGGATATTTAGGTTGTTCCCAATATTTTGTTACTACAGACAGTTCTTCAGTGAATAACTTTGTAAATACATCATTGTGCACGTGTACCAGTATATCTGTCACATAAATTCATAACAGTAGAATTGCTGGGTCAAAAGATACGTGAATTTATAGTTTTAATATAGTATCAAAGTGCCCTCCTTTTCTTAATAAGTCATAGCTTCACTTAACACCATGAAACTAATCTTATTTTCTTCTCCCAGAGAAAGATAAATTGTAAGGCTTAAGAAGCCTACTGGTCAGTAGGATACATACAGAATCAAAGCTTTTCTGATTTCTATAAAAATATGGTGAAACTGTAGTCTTCTCCACAGCCTTCTCCCCAAAATAGTTCTTCATTGACCATTTGACTTGGGCTTTTTTTTTTTTCTTTTTTTAATGTTGCCAGTGTTTAAGCTATTCTTCTGACTACTTTACATTTACAAAACATCAAAGTGTATTTCTGTCACAGAGCAGATGACTTTTCTGGTCATGTAATTCTGACTTATGTCTCATCCTCCCTCCTCATTCTTCTTTCTCACTTAAAACCAGACTAAGGGCCCTCAAAAAGAGGTCCATGACCAGTCCATGGCACATGCTTTTGCTAAGACCTGTTCTTTCATTTATTGCTGTTTTTATATCCCAGGCTAGGAACTCTGAAGCGAGGAATAAATTTAGTACGACCATTGTCTTTTCTAGGTTCTAGCAAGAGGAGAAGAAAGGAGGAGACCACAGGGAAAAACGTTAAGAAGACACAGCACGAGTTAGATCACAATGGTCTCGTTCCCTTACCGGTCAAAGTCTGCTTCACGTGTAACAGGTATTTTTTTTTCATACCTAGGGGTTTTCCCTCTTATTCAGCAAATGATGGTTTTTCTTTCTTCCTTCACCTCTTCTAAACTGTATGTGTTAAATGTTGATAACCCGTATTCTGATGGTGTGAGGACACAGAGACTGACTAATTGACCAGAGCTTTGAAAGTCTTGATAACACATTCTATGAAGAATCTCAGTGCATAGAAACTAGTTTACTGTGTTTTAGAGGCTAGAATGAGAGGAGTTGGGCTTAAACTGAAGCATGAGATATTTAGCTAGCAGGAAGAACTCTGGCCAGCGGGAAACAAGTCCCTGGAAAAAGCAGAGTGTTTAAATCACTAAAAATGAGTTTAAAAGTAGTACAAGTATCTGTGGTAGCTGGTGTGCATAGAACTGGATGACTTCCAAAAGCCTCTAGGCTACCCAGTTGTACCTTCCCTGGGACACTGGTTTCCTTCAGATTGGATCTCCTCAGTGACAGGAATCAGCTGCTTCAATTACTGAAGCTGGACTTGGCTGGCTTGGGTGTGGTAGAAGGACTGCATTATGATCAGGGCAGGATAGCAGGAGAAAATAGCTATAGAAAATAGCTAAAACTATAGGGAACTAGATGGTAGCACAGCAGAACCCTGAGCCAGGCCCAGACTGTGGCATCCAGTTCATCTCAGGACCCAAGGAGTGCCATGGTTACAAATCGTTATTGGCATTTGCTCAAGTCCTTTCCCGTGAACCATACTTACATGAACACATTACAGAATCATTTTCCCAACACACCGCTCCCTGGCAGATTGCCAGTTTTGCCAAATGCTGCATGCAGGAAAGAAGTGTTTTCTTGCTGTGGTTAAGACTCTAGAAAGGTTGCTAGTGACTTTTTTAAATGAGGTAGTTGCTCTGTTTTTAGTTGTAGGAAGATCAGAACAGAGTTGGCTGTCTTCCCCCTGTGGGTACTGAGCGTTGATCATTTCTACTCTGACAACCACTTGAGCTATACTCTAAATAAACATTCAGTTCGCAACAAGACACATTCCTCTTAGGAGAGAGAATAATGGAGAGCCTGGTGGTAGCCCCCAACTTAGTCATCTTGCTGATCATGAATGTAACTGAATCACTGGTGGAGGAGATTAGGATTAATGAGGGGAGGCTGTCTCACAGTTCAGAGTTGGTTTGAATTCTCCCATCTTGCCACAGAAATGGCCTACATCTCTTCTTTGCAGGAGTTGCCGCGTGGCCCCTCTCATCCAGTGTGACTATTGCCCCCTCTTGTTCCACATGGACTGCCTCGAGCCGCCGCTCACTGCCATGCCTCTGGGCAGATGGATGTGTCCGAATCACATCGAACATGTGGTGGTAGGTACAGCGGTGTCCATTCAGTCCTCCACAGGCACAGCTGGGGCATGGACTGATTCAGTAGGAAGCAAATTAAGGTCAGCTTTGTGCCAGAGTTCACTATAACCTCTCAGATGCTGGTTTCTGCGGACCATCCTACTCATTTCCAATTATTTTGACATACCTCAGCTGTGCACTATTTGTTTCCATGTTTTCCTCCCTCTTATTTTTAGAAGGAACAAACTAAGAAAATTCTAAAATATTTATTCTTATATCTCAGGAATTAGCTCTGGCTGTTACTGCCTGGTAACTTCTGAGATTTGAAGAATTAACATGGATAACAGTATTCTAGGCAGTCAGTCATTTATTGAATACCTGATGTGTCCCAGGCACCAGATGAGGCTCTTCCCCTTCTCTTGCTTTAATTCTTTATAACGACCTTGTGCTGATGACACATAATGGGTATTTAATAAGTAAGTTGTTGAATGAATGAATGATGCAAGGATCTTATTACTTTATCTCCAGGACTCTGTGTACATTTTCCAGACTGCTTCCTGGGGCTAGAACAGAGCTGTAGTTTGCCACCTCCAAAAGAGGTTTAGGACCTCTCCTTACAGACAATTAGAATAGTCATTCACAAGGTTGACTGGAAGAGGCTTCAGGCAGAGGAGCTCCCTCACAGGAGCAGCCTTTCCAGTGGAACAGGTTGCTGTCTATGATGTATTACATGTTCCATGGCAATAACTATAGAATGACTACTGGCCTTAAACATGGCAGTGTGCTCCCAACCCCAGCCCCCAAGGCGAAGGAACTTCAGTTATAGTCTTGCACATGTGTCATAGAAAAGTTGCTTTGAGTTCTTATTTCAGCTAATGCTGCTCAGAAAGGTTTAGCTAGGAGAAATTTTCTCTCTGAAGCTCAGTATCAGACTATCTTGTTTTGCCTCCTGCTGAAAGAGAAAACAAGACATGAGCAGTCTACCCAAATATGAATCTTAAAGACCAGCTCTCCAGCAGATGAGAAATCATTAAATTTGGTGATTTTTTTTTTACAGCTTAGGTGTTACCCTAATTTACTAATTGGGAAGCTGCTACAACAGGTCTTTTCTTCTGAATTAAAGTAGGAGACCAAATGTAGAGGAGAAAAGTGGCATAATTTCTATATGCCTTCTGTATGCTACTGCAGGAGCTCTTCCTTCCCCTTGGCCTCTAAGAACAACCCAAGGTTTTCCCTACCTAAGGAGGAAAATAATAATATCCAGATGGGCTCACTAATGTTCACTGGTACCATAGAGTAGAAATAGGACAGGGCACACAGGATTCTGGTGCTGACTCTGCTGTCAGCCAGTCTCCTTCTTATATAGGAGACAGTCCTACTTGCTGTAGGAGAGAGTCCCATGCTAGAGAGGGAGGCTGGGTCTCTTGAGGGCCAAGGCCTGCGTTTCCTCTGAAACCTGTACTGCTTTTGGTTACCTTTTTTGTTCTGACCTGGAGCAGAAGACTGTCAAGGGCTAGATTTGGAAGGGCACTTCTTAGCTTAGTCTCTTACCTCCTGTCCCCTCAAACCTCTCTAGGGGATGGGACTATACCAGCTTTTCCCCACTGGATTTGGACAGGGCTGAGGAAGAGTCTCATCCATTTTCCCTTGCCCTCTGACAGAGAACGTTATAGCCCTCCCTGACTGAAAGAACCCATTTGACTAAGGGCCTCTCTTTTTCAAACCTAGAAGATGGGGTTAGTGGTGGGGGGATGGGCACTTTGAACCTCACTGCAGGAGTGTGTCTGCTTTGTCCCTAGCTGAACCAGAAGAATATGACACTGAGCAATCGGTGCCAGGTGTTCGACCGTTTCCAGGACACCATTTCACAGCACGTCGTCAAAGTGGACTTCCTGAACCGAATCCACAAGAAACACCCTCCTAATCGCCGGGTGCTCCAGTCGGTCAAAAGAAGAAGTTTGAAGGTGAGTCACAACGTGGTGCAGGCAGGATGGTGCTCTCTGAGTGCCTTCATAGGATAAGCAGAGGATCATTGTCCTAAGTTTACAGATGCAACCTGATGCCTCTGAGATTTGTCTGTGGTTTCTCAGGAAGTAATAATGGATGTGACTGTATGTTTTAATACTTGAGATAGTGGTCAGGATTATGAGGGCCAAACCCCAAATTGGCCTTTAGACTCTGCAAGTCTCTAGATCTCCTGAGGATAGCACCCTTTGGCCCAGCCCACTGAACCCAGGTGTGCTCTGCTGTTACTGTCCCCTTGCCTCGCACTCGTCTTGTCTGTTGTCCCTGTAGATGGCCCCTGTCCCAGAGCTCTCTGATCAGGTGAAGGTAGGAGTGATTAAACAGAAAGAGCCATGTGGAAAGTGAGGAGCTATTCCCAGCTGAGGAATTTGATAGGAAAATGTCCAAGAGAGAGTTAAATCTGTTTTTTCAGGCTGCTGTTAGTATATCACCGATGACCCAAATTATGGCATTGTCATAATAATACCTAATATTGAATGGACTTTACAGTGTCTAGAGTGTCCGCAAAGATTTCCTTCCTTGAAAACCACTGGTGGTGGTGAAGATGAGGATGTTTCTCCTAAGCTATTCAATCTCCTCATTCTGGTAACCTACAGAGTCCAACACTATATACCCATATATAAATTTGCAAAGAAATTAATTTTTCTCTTTTGAAACAACCCCCTCAGATACTCATGTGTCAGTGGAAACCAGCAATTCTCAAATATGGCCACTTGATGGCAGTCACACTTTAAAATCATTCACACCACTCCTGTCACTTCCAGTGAGTGTCAGCGATAGCAAGATGTTATCTGTTGAAAATTGTATAACAAACTCTTAACTGCATAAATATTTATACTTATGTGGAAGCACAAGTTTTCCAAAATTAAGGTATTTTAGTTTGGATGTAGGGGATATTAGAGGTGTCATATCTTATACCTCAGTTAAACAGATCTAAAATTAATCCAGGCTGTGGAATTCATTGTGTAGATTTGGAAGAGATCCTGGCTGCTGAAGTGAACAGGCCAGGGCACCTTGATAAAACCCTTTGATTTTATGGTGCCCTCTTTTTTTAATGGTTCCCTATTTTTAAGGGAAATTCAAGCGCATGAGTTGCCTGAAAAGCCTTTTGTACTTGGATAATTTGAGAGTGAAATGAGGACTGTAGCACCAGAGCACAGTGACAGAGAACTGCTCCAGCTCTCTCCCAGAACGTTGGCTTTTATCTTTGATGCATAGCAATAGAGGCAAAAGCTGCTGAGAACTTCACATCTGCGCCAGAGACTCCTCTTCCACATACCCCATTACTCTTCCCCAAGGGACAGCCTTAGTCCAGCCCACTGCTTGTTCCTCCCCCTCCCATTCCTGAGTGAGCTCAGACGGGCCCATGGCACCAGCTAATACTGTTATAGTGATGACTCTCAATTCCATATTCTTTGCCTTTTGCCTCATATCCAGATTCGTATCTGCCTGCCTATCCCACGGATACCTCAGTCTCAACCTGCCCATCCAAAAGTCTTCTGCCCCTCCAAATCTGTTCTTCCTCCTGTATTTCCTATTTCAGTTAATGCAGTGATCTCTACTCAGTCCCTCAAGCCAAAATTCTGGGAACCATTTTCAGCAGCTCTTCCCCTATCTTCCATGAGGACTTGGTCATAAAATCTGTTGATTCTCCAAATGTTTTCCAAATCCACCAAGTACTTTCACACTCTGTACCTTACATGTTACTCTCCTACCAGAGATGCCTTCCGCTTATTTCCCTTTGTCTACCTGGAAGGTCCTTTCCAGCTTCCAAGTCTCAGCTCAAATATTGCCTTCTCTGTAAAATCTTTGCTAATCCCAAGCTTCTTCCCATCCCCAGACAGAAATGAGCACATTCCTCTCTGTTTTTTATAGCACCTTGGACATGCCTCTATTCTAGGACCCGTTGCATTGTATTGTAATGTTTGTGTATTTATCTCCCCACTAGACTGTGAGCTCTTCGAGGACAGGGCTTAAATTTTATTCACCTCTGGATCACTAGGACTTGGCACACTACCCAGACTCAGGAGGTGCTGAATAAATGGTGGTTGAATGTATGAGTGACTCTTGCTTATGTGGCTCTTCCATTCTTAACATGGTGTGATTCAGAGTGTGTCTTCTGTCTTTGTGCAACAAAGAGGTCTTCTTCAGTTGTTTCGTGAGTCATGAATAAATGGATAAAGAAGACTAATATTGACTGAATGCTTATCATGAGCCAGGCATTAAACTGGGCATTTTGACTGTGAATGTGACCTTATTTAACTTCTTACCTCTCAGGTATTGCTCACCAACCTCCCAAACTTGGCACTGAGCAGTAGGAGCCTAGAATACCACTCTGAAGCCCTGTCCAGTGTCAGTCTTCCATGGTACTTATTCAAGTCAAAAGCAGAAGCCAGCACACAGTAGTTTGTGGATTCTGCAGGCCTGAGACCTTGATGAAGAAAAGTGGGGCCCTGCCTGCTGTCCCATCTCTGTGCCTTCTCAGGCCAGTGTGTGCTGTGTCAGAATCGAAGAGATAGGGCACCAAGCAGTTGCAGCACCCTAGCCTCCTTGTTGTGCCCCAGAGTAGATGATCCTGGGCATCAGCACCTCAGATGGAACAGCTTGGCCAGGGCAGAATCACCGTGACATGTTGGCACTATATCCCTCTCCTTTCTTTTATCTACCCTGAACAGGTTCCCGATGCTATAAAATCTCAGTACCAGTTTCCACCCCCTCTCATTGCATCCGCGGCCATTCGGGATGGGGAGCTGATCTGCAATGGGATCCCTGAGGAATCACAGACACACCTTTTGAACTCTGAGCACTTAGCCACCCAGGCAGAGCAGCAAGAGGTGAGTGAAGGCAGAGCTGGGATTCCAGATCCAGTGCTCCTTCCATCTCACCATAGCTGTGACTGAAAGTAGCTTCAGTGTCATTCCCATCCTCATCTTCCACAACTCTACTCACCCCAACCCCTAGCACCCAAGAGCTGAGTATTTCAGAGAGAACTTCTGACTCGGGTCCTGAAGGCAAGTAAGAAAGACCACAGAGGCAGCTACCCTGCTTTCTCCACCAGTCCCCCAATGTACTGGGAGATGGGCAGATCTGTCTTGTAGAATGAGATCAGTAGACCCATAGAGGTTCGGTGATAGTGCTGGACACACAGTAGGCACTTAGGGGCAGAGCCAGAATGAGAATTCCAGGCTCTGCTGACCAGGGTATTGCCTCCTGAGTGTAACAACAAGTCTTGCTTGGGAATGGAAATGGAATCCTATTTCAGGAGTCTTAACATATGCTGTTTGGGCATTCTCAGTGGGACTTTGGAAATAGTGCTTGTCAACTCTGCTGTAGCTGTGGCAGGAAAGACCAGTGTCTCCCAGGCCTCTCACTTTCCTCTTCTTCCATTGCAGTGGCTCTGTAGTGTTGTTGCGCTCCAGTGCAGCATATTGAAACATTTATCTGCTAAGCAGATGCCTTCGCATTGGGACTCTGAACAGACAGAGAAGGCTGATATTAAGCCTGTTATTGTGACTGACAGCTCAATTACCACCTCCCTGCAAACAGCTGACAAGGCACCTACACCTTCCCACCACCCCCTGTCGTGCCCCTCAGGGATTAACACCCAGAATTCCCTGAGCTGCTCTCCACCCTATCAGCCCCCAGCCCTAGAGGACATCAGCTGCAGTTCTTGTGCGGAAAAATCCAAGAAAGCCTCCTGTGGGACTGCCAACGGGCCAGTGAACACAGAGGTGAAAGTCAATGGCCCACACCTCTACAGCAGCCCCACTGACTCCACAGACCCCCGGCGACTTCCAGGCACCAACACCCCTCTACCAGGCCTCTCACACCGGCAGGGCTGGCCCCGGCCCCTCACGCCACCAGCGGCTGGGGGGCTTCAGAACCACACTGTCGGCATCATTGTGAAGACAGAGAATGCCACTGGCCCCAGCTCTTGCCCCCAGAGGAGTTTGGTTCCTGTCCCAAGCCTGCCCCCTTCGATTCCCAGCTCTTGTACCAGCATCGAGAACACCAGCACTTTGCAAAGAAAGACTGTCCAATCACAGATAGGACCTCCGTTGACAGATTCAAGGCCACTGGGCTCACCCCCAAATGCCACCCGGGTGCTCACTCCCCCCCAAGCAACAGGAGACGGTATCTTAGCCACAGGGGCCAACCAACGATTCTGCTCACCAGCGCCATCATCAGGTGAGTGCAGCTCATCCTTGGGTGGTTTGGAATAATTTTATGCTCTTCCTAGTAAATAACACTTAAGATTCAAAAAACATGTATATCCCTGTGACTACTTGAGAGAACTTTGATCTCTGTACTGTTTTGTTTTCCCCCCAGTTCTGTGATAGAAGGAGAAGCACATGTTAACTTGTCCCCATTTTATAGGTGGGACTGCTGAAGCCCTGAAAGGTTAAGTGATTTCCTTAAGGTGGCCTAGCAAGTTTGTTGAAGGTTTGGAACTACAGCCTGGGTCTCCTGAACTCCACCTCACACCTTCCAAACATAGTTTTTTGCCGGTTTTGTTCCATCACCTTAGAGAAAGGCAGTCTGCTCTCTGGAACAACTGTGATCAGCCTGAGGTTCTGGGTGATGGCCTAAGTGTTTCACGGTCCACACGTCCAGACTAGATCCATGCCTGATCCAGATCCTCAGAGCCAGCTCATTTGAGGAACTTCCATGTCAGGGAAACAGGGAGTAGAAAGCAACACTGCCTAGGTTGGTCTGCCCAGAAGCTTGCCCTCAAGTGACATGCCAAAGGGAAGTCTCTTAAGTCTCTACTTGGCCTACTGTGGACTTGCTCTATCAGTTGTCCCCAGTAAGCACTCAGGACCTCGAGGTTGCTGACCCCAGCATCTGAACCAGGTTTCAGATGCTGCTGGAACCCCCCGTGGTCTCTCCCGTCCGAACTGAAGCCGGCCTCCTAGTCAGCTGGGAGTCTCGGTAACCAGGTGACTGTGCCTTCTCTGCATGGGGGCCCCTGGTCCCAGGATGGCCCCTACTCTCAGGCTGTTTTTCTCTCTCTGATCATCCTTGAGTACCAGCCTGGAGATTTTGTACCCTGTGAGTCACCCCTCAGTAGGTAGGAGCTGCAGGGGCAGGTACTACTTCTTTAAGAGTAGAGGCAGCAGGGAGGTGGTCATGGCCCAGAGAATGCAGCTACCCTACCACTTACCCAGAGCAGTAGATGTCACTGGTTTTTGGTGCGCTGGAGACTCCTGCGTGCCCGGGTGTGTTGTCGTTCCATCTGCCCTTCCTCACCACACGTTTTTAGCTCTAGGAGTTCCAGACCCTATGGGTTGAGAATCAAGAAGGGAACATCACCTTGGGTCCGAAACCAGACCTGTCTCAGCAGTGGGGGATTGGACCGGTAGGTTTCCCTCAGGTGACGTAAGTAACAGTCTTCCTGCTCCGTCCCCAGATGGCAAGGTCAGCCCCGGCACGTTATCCATAGGAAGCGCTTTAACCGTACCCTCTTTCCCAGCCAACTCTACTGCCATGGTGGACCTCACCAACTCACTTCGAGCATTTATGGATGTCAATGGAGGTGAGTGAGTGAGCTGCTGCTGTTCAACCAGCTGTTGGGGTGAAAGCGCTGCCCTGTGCAGCATTCGGCTCATTTCAAAAAGGGAGAGAATGGGTGCCTGATCTCAGAAGGCTAGGGAGATGGGCATGAGGGGTGTGTCTCTTTGGTTAGAGGGATGGGGTAGAAAAGAAAGCCCCTTCTCCAATCCCTGCTTTATACACAAACACATAATCTAAGATAAAGGGGGAGCAGAGCCAAGGTGAACCAGTGAGAAGAGACTGAAATCACTTTAGGCAGATCACCTGGACATGCAGAATAAAACTAGAAGGATCCTTGCTCCCAAAGTAGGGACCCCCCCCATCTGCGGGAAATGCCCAAAGTCGAGGAGGATGGGGGCAGATCCTGATCTCTGGGAGTAGAGGGTGGGAAGGAACTCAAAGCCTCAATATCAGACACCCAGGCTTTCCCCACAGACAGGCAAGTGGTTTGTTTTGCTCTGCCTTTTTCGGACCACTTTACCTAAGATCAGGCTACTCAGCTGCAGGAGGTATCTACACCAGCTCTTTGGGACCCATCTCTCACTGCAGATTGGCTAGTGAGGTGCCTAGCTCCAGATCCCTGTACCATTTTGTATTTTATGCTGTTTGAGCAAAAATCTCTTGGCTGGGTTTTAGGAATGCTCAACTATTTGCTCTCTGACCCTCTGCTACTTCCACATTCCATTTCCTCCTCAGCTGCTTTTTAATCTTTCTCTTTGGTTAATAGAAATCGAGATAAATATGCTGGACGAGAAGCTGATCAAGTTTCTGGCCTTGCAGAGAATACATCAGCTTTTCCCCTCCCGGCTCCAAGCTTCACCGGGCAGTGTCGGGACACATCCGCTGGCTTCCGGAGGGCACCACACAGAAGGTGCGCATGCATACACCTGCAACCCCACCTTCAGATCTCCCCTCTGTGTGTGTGATCTCCCCTCCATGCAGAATCTCAGCTTCCAAAATCTCAAGCCTCCATGTGTGTTTTAATAGGCTTAGTAAAGCACCGTGGTTTCTCTTCTCAGAGAGATGGCAACCACAGCTTTGAGACAGACCTAGGGAAGTCTGCTGTAATTTGCTTCCACAGGAGTGCACTGTGAGACACAGAAAGCAGCTACCAGTACATTTAGTATTTGTGGTATGCTTTCTTTCTACTCAGTTACTTTCAGATACTAGAGTTAGAAGGGTTTCCGAAAAGGGACCTTTTCAAGTTCAGGGTGTGAAACAGAATAACAGTGAGCTAGCCTCCTGGAAATTCTTCCTAAAGCTATCTCTCTGTGCATTAGCCATGAAGAGCCTTGCTACTTAAAACTGTGGTCTCCAGACTAGCAGCGTCAGCATCATCTGAGAGCTTGTTAGAAATGTAGAGCTCAGGCCCCACCTCAGAAGATCTCTAGACGATTCATATGCACATTGAAGTTTGAGAAATTCTGTCCATGAGTCCTGTTTTTCCACAGCCTCCTTATGTATCAGCTGGTATATCTCTGCTAAGTCAACTGGCAGCCTAGGAGCTTAAAGGACTGTCATTGCCTGCCCTTGAATTCTGTGACAGTCCTCAGAGATGGCCCGCCTCACCCCATTTTGGAGATGCTGTGGCATGGGGAGAGGATGCCTTACCCTGAAGCAGCCAGTTCCTAGTGTCAGAGGTGAATTTGGAAAGATGAGTGGGATTATTTTCCCTAGGCCATGAGCCAAAGAGAAGGATTGGGAAGATCCAGGTTCTTTTGGTTTATGTTTGGGCCACAGTTTCTGAGTTTCTAAATGATCCTATCCCTGTGTTTGGCTTATAGTGCAAAGAAAGGAGATACAGGCCCGAGCTGTGTTCTACCCTCTCTTAGGGTTGGGAGGAGCTGTGAACATGTGCTATCGAACCCTCTACATCGGGACAGGTGAGCCAGCCAGGAAGCTGGGAGAGGCGCTGAATCTGTTCATCCCTAAAAATCGACATCCCTACCCCCAGAGGTTAGAAAGGGGAGAGGGAAGCCCTCTCCGAGCTGAATGGTTTAGTGGATGTCTAGACAAGAAGGACTAAGAAAGGAGACAGAAGCTTGTCTTCCCTGACTTAAGCCCTTGGGCTTTGTTTGTGCCCACTGTGGCATCAGGAGGGATGAAAGCTCTGACTGCTGCTCAGTGAGGCGTTTTAAACACTGCAAGGAAATAACCCAAGAGAGGGCAAAGGGCAAAGGCTTTGTCCCTGGAGGTCTTTGAAAAAGTGATGGGGCTCATACCTGCCCAACCTTCAGTTAACCTTGTATCTGGTGCAGAGGGACAGACAAATTAACGGTCTAAGCCCTTAGCCTAGAAATTTCCCATTCTTTCAGGTAATATGATTTACAGGCCCTGTGCTCCCATGTTGTACTCTCGTGGAGACATCCCGTCCTCTTCAGTAACTCATAGCTCCCTTTGGGCAACAGCCACGTGTTGTAAAGCAGATCTGCTGGCAGGAAGAGCTGTTCTTTAGCAGTAGATTGGAAGCAACATCAGTTTTTGTTCAAAAATACAAGGAGAGGGCCCTGGGCTACCTGCCCCTGGAGGTCTCTACTTGCATCTGCACAGAAGCTGACTCCCTCCCCATCACCTCCCCCACACATACACCTTACAATCTGTTCTCTGCCTTTTCCTCTACTCCTGCCACCTTGCAGGAGCTGATATGGACGTGTGCCTTACAAACTATGGTCACTGTAACTACGTGTCCGGGAAACATGCCTGCATATTCTACGATGAGGTGAGGGGTGGGGATGGGGTGGGAGGGAGTTCTCCCAACCTGAGGCCTCTCCCAGTCACTGGGTCTTTGTTCAGCGCACTGGAGTGAGGAAAGGGGGTTGAGGGTCCCCTCCTTTTCTTCCCTCCCTATCGTTCCTGGAGAAGAGTCTTGGTGTGAAAGGGCATCCTACAATGGCCCACCTGCTCCCCAGGAGCAGGGCTACCGTTTTCCCTGAGGTTGGTCAGAGGCAGAGCAGGGGGAACCAACCCTAAGACAGGGAAGGGGACCAGCATAGAAAGAAGCCAAGCCCTCAGGTTGTGTCCCTGTGAGTTTCTTGTGAGCCTCAGGTCTGCATTATCATGTGCCAGTGACATCCCATCAACAGGAGCCAGTGATGAGGAGACAGTAAAGGAGTGGTGGGAGTGAGGGGGTGTGGGGTGCTAGGAAGGAAGGCTTCCTAGAGGAGGTGAGTCTTGAGCCCCATCCTGAAGGGGGTGGGGGGGCCGTGATTGGGAAGAGAGTTCCCTTGGTAGAGCAGCACAGCCTTCTCTATATGTCCTCTCTCCCCTTAGCCCCAGGCAGCAGACCACACATCTTATCTTCCCTCCTCCTCCTCAGAATACCAAACATTATGAGCTGTTAAACTACAGTGAGCACGGGACAACGGTGGACAATGTGCTGTATTCATGTGACTTCTCTGAGAAGACCCCGCCAACCCCCCCAAGCAGTATTGTTGCCAAAGTGCAAAGTGTCATCAGTAAGTTGGAGCAGAGTGCCCGGCCACTTTTTGACACATTCTCTAAGGAAGGCCCAGTCAGGATGGCTCTGGCTTGCTGCAGATGACCTGCTGGCCCTTGGCTCTTGCCTTGCCGTCTCACTCCTGTTGTCCAATGCACCCACATAATGTATACACACCTACTTTGGGACTCTTGCCTCCGCGAGCCCTTTCTGAGCATTCCTCACCCCAGTCATGCAGCAGTTAGAATGGGGGAGGTGTGGGACCAGCGTGGCAAACAGCCCAGATGGGTTGGCTGCTCACGCTTCGTCTCATGTGACCGTCCCCCTCTTTCCAGGGCGCCACCGGCACCAGAAACAGAATGAAGAGCCGCCAAGTGAGGAGACAGCCATGATGAGCTCCCAGGCCCAGGGGCCACACCGGAAACCCTGCAACTGCAAAGCCAGCAGCTCGAGCTTGATTGGGGGCAGTGGGGCCGGCTGGGAGGGCACGGCCTTGCTGCACCATGGCAGCTACATCAAGCTGGGGTGCCTGCAGTTCGTCTTCAGCATCACTGAGTTTGCGACCAAACAGCCCAAAGGTGATGCCGGCCTGCTGCAGGATGGGGTCTTGGCTGAGAAGCTTTCCCTCAAGCCCCACCAGGGTCCTGTGCTGCGCTCTAACTCCATTCCCTAGGGCTGGCGGCTACCCCGCCACCTACCTGTCCCACCCACCCAAGACTCCTGCAATGCAAAAATGTACACAAACCAAGCCCGGGTTTTTTTTTATACTCCACCAGGAACCCTTCAACTACAATCTTTGCATGAAATGAAGAAAACCTTTTGACTTTTTTAAAAATCCTTTTTCTTTTCTCAAGTTCTAGGGGGCATTTGCACATATATTTGTACTCAACATTTCATGGGAAAGCGGCAGACCTGAGCTGAGGAGCAGCGAGGGCAGGGAGGGGAGGCCGATGGTCTGGACACTTCCTCCAACACAAAAACCGTTCCCCACCCACCTCCTGCTCCCTCTCCCTCGCCTGCCATTGTAAAATAATCAGAAACTTGTTCTATTTTGTGGCAGTGACAATAGTTTTATATTAAAAGAAAAAAATACAGTTTTCATACAGCAAAATCTATACAATATCATTGTTTTATTTAATATAAAGATCGCTACCCACCCTCCTTCCATGGCTCCCACCCTCCAGGTTATTTTCCCTTCTGCAGCGGTTGCACTACAGGTAGCTACTGTGTATTATGGACAAATGAGAAATGAATTCTTTTTCTGGCTGTCCATCTATTTTATTTCAAATAAGGAAAAGTGTATTTGGATTTTGTGTAAATACATCTAGTGATGACATTTTTTCAATGTTTTTAAAAACTGTGTACAGTACTACATGTGGTAGAGCGTTTTCTTCAAATTGTCTATTGTAGCAAAAACGTTTTTGTCGTAAACCTGTTTTGTCTCCTTTTTTTGTTCTCTTGCCACTTCTCTTCCTCCCATCCCTGGCTCCCTTCTCTCCTTCCACCCCGACAACTAGTACCAATGTACATAGTAATTGTAATGTTTTAGACTTTACAGAAACTTTCCTGTATTCTGTATATAAAAAACAAAAATACTTCAAATTATGTTTTCTGCCTGTCTGTCCTACCTGTCATCACCCCTAAAGGGGACCCTCCCTTGGATCCTGGTCACACAGGTGAGGGAGCCTTTGAAACAGGTCTCATTCCCAGATGCTCAGTCCCCGGGGGAAATCAGGAGAGGGTAGGTATTGGAGGAAAGGAGCCTAAGGTGGGTGGGGAAAAATGGAAGGGTAGGGTGCACTTGCTAGGGTGGGGGCTATAGTATGGCTTTATGGGTGACATGAGAGTTTAGAGGGCTTGGTCATTTGGCAGGATCAGATTCTGCAAGAATCCAAGAGTGTGTAGGTTCCTGAACTGTGGGACAGGAGTCCCTGTACCTGCTGGCTCCAAAACCAAGACAAAGTGAAGCTAGTACAAGACCTCTGCCTTCTGGACTGGAGGCATTAGCCTAAGGAGTCGGGGCTGCCTTTGATTCCAAGTGTTTGCTAATCATATTTATCTCCTATTCTGGGAGAGGTCTAAACACCTGGTTGTACTTTCCCCCCACCTCACCCCACAAGCCTTAGCTGGGCATTGAGCATTTCATTTATTCAAGTATAACTTGAGTCCCTCCTCTTTCCCAGGCCTGTGCTAGGTCTTGGGGACAACAGCAGACAGCAGGGCTGCCTCTTGGAGCTTAAGTCTCTAGTGCTGAGCAATTTGGTGATTCAAACATCTTGGAAACATGATGAAAAAAAGTGGGAAATCCAGTCTCTAGACTGAGCCATGCCACCTCTAGTTTGTGTGATTTATAATCACAACTTCTCTACAACCAGTTCTTCATCAGGAGGTGAGTCTATGCACAACCTTATCCTAAGGCTCCAGGGACCCTTTCACATCAAACTTCATCCCTTCCTTCTCCCAGACCTTATGTAAACTTTCTCCAGGGTATTTTTTTTCCTGAGAACAATCTCCTCTACTCCTTAGATAAAGAGCACCATGTCTATCCTAGGACTGTTGGGAGTAGGTAGTACATGTTGGTGTATCAGGATTTTGCCTTGGGGATGGAAAATGCAGCTCATCCTATAGCATCTACAACTGAGCCCTGAATCCACAGTGCAGCTAAATAGGAAACCCCCTGGAATCTGAAGTCTGTTCCTGGCTTCCACTTACCCATCTAGCTTTGTCTCCACACACTGTTCCCTCTGCCCAGAAGGGCCTCTTGAACTTCCCAAAGGCAGAAACTTGCATGCATGTTGTTCCACTTGGTATTTCCAAGGCTAACCACACTACTGAACTCATTGTAAGTACCGAACAACACATGCTAAGTTGTACTACGTTTCTTTGACAAGGTCCTTGCTTCCCTTCCTCTTGGCAAGTCACCTGCCCGGGAATGCCCTTACTTGCCTGTGCCTCACCATCATAGTTACTTCTTCCATTGAGGGATGGCGCTTCCTTACCTATTTCTACCACCTGTGAGAACCTTCCTCCTGAAGGACAGGTAACAGATTTTACTCTCTCCTTGCTTGCCTTCAAAAACAGGAGGGAGGCTGCGGAGGCAGGGAGATGGAGACAGGAAATGAATGAGTGAATCCTAACACTCGTTAACTGATGATGCCACCTTGAACACACTGCTTCATCTCTCCGGCCTCCGTGGGTACAACAGGGAATAATCTTAGAAGTGGAGGGCTGGATGTGAGGATAAGCAATTGAGGATTTGTTTACTGAGGGAAAGGGGCCCAAGATTGGACTTACTCTCTCAGAGACACAAGAGCATTCATGTACACACGCGAATCCAGAAAGCAAGGACTCTGCTACATACTCACACTCACGATTCACACACCCTGATTAGCTCCTCCACACAGGAACCATCTGTAAGCCCTCAGCCAGAGAGCATGCTCACAGGCACACGTGCAGAGGAGAGATACACACATACTGAGATGTTCATTCAAACACACACATTGACACTACAAAACATGCACACACCTGGAGGGGGCTTGGCCCACATGTGCACACACACCTAGTAGGTGCTCACACTGGCACACACACAGGGCACTCCCAGGGCTCACGAGCACATGGGCACCTACAAGGTGTTCACACAAACAGAGGATTGAAAGGCATGCACACAACTTGAAGCGTGATCACAGGGTACATGGACACATACACGCCTAGAAGTCATTCACGCAGACGCAGACGATGCGGATATAGGTACACACCTAGGAGTTCACCCGGGCACACACCAAGGGACTCAGATGCACGCCTAGGGGGCGCTCGCAGGGCCACACGCACACGCGCGCACACATCCCTGCTCTGCCTTCCCTCACGCCTCGGCCTGTCGGAGGCCGGGGCGCGCCAGGCTCCTTTCAAAGCCCGAGAGGGGTGAATCGGCGGCCTCCGGGCGGCGATCCAGGGCGGCGCGGAGTCTGGGCGGGAGCACGGAGGCAGACCAGCATGGAGGCGCTGCTACTGGGCGCGGGGTTGCTTCTGGGCGCCTACGTACTTGTCTACTACAACCTGGTGAAGGCCCCGCTGTGCCGCGGCATCGCCAGCCTGCGGGGCCGCACGGCTGTGGTCACTGGTGAGGGCGGGCGGGCTGGTGGGCGGCCAGGCTGCGGGGGAAGCCCGCCCGACTTAATTCGGTTCCCGCCCGCCATCCGCAGGCGCCAACAGTGGCATCGGGAAGATGACCGCGCTGGAGCTGGCGCGCCGGGGAGCGCGCGTGGTGCTGGCCTGCCGCAGCCGGGAGCGCGGTGAGGCAGCAGCCTTCGACCTCCGCCAGGTAAATGAGGGCGGGGGTGGGTGGGACGGTGAGCCAAGCACCCACAGGGACACGTCGGGACACAGAGGAGTGAGAAAAGCGGCTCCGGGGGGGACCTAGTTTGTGAGAGGAGAGTGCGGCTTGGTTCATTAAGCGCAGAACAGGGGTGCACGCGGTGCTGTGGTCACACAAGGAAGGAACACCAGACCCAAGTGAGGGCCGGGAGGGCTTCCTGAAGGACATGATTGCTGTTCTAAGATATTTAAGAATCGGTAGGAGTTAATGAAGAACAGCAGGGGAGGGAACAGCATAAGTAAAGGCTCTGAAGCAAAACAGCAGGTCTGATCTGAGAAATTGTAAAAAGGTTTAGCAAGGCTGGGGCACAAAGCTGGGGAAGTGGGGCAGATGAAGGGGTTGAAGGCTATGAGCCAGGGCCAGTCTCTGGAGGCCCTTATAGATCTTACTGAGGAGCTTGGATTTCATAGGATGAGTAGCGGGGTTCCAGTGAAGGGGCCTCATCAGGATCTGAACTAAGTCAGAATAGCCTTTTGAAATGAACCCTTTGGTGGCTTTGCGGTGCCTGGACTGGAAGGGGCAAGAATGGATAAGAGGAGAACACTGAGAAGTCTGTTGCAGATTTCAGGGTGGGCGATAATGGGCAAAGGGGGTGATAATAATAAGTACCTACACAGCGTTGTGTGCCAGACAATGTTCTGAGTACTTTACATATATTAACTCATTTAACCCTCACAACAGCTCTCTAAGACAGATACTATCATTATTCCCATTTTACTGTGAGAGAACTGAGACCAGGGAGATTAAGTATCTTGCCCAAGGTCACGTAAGAGACAAAGTCGAGATTTGCATCCAGAGTCCACACACTTATCCACTGCACTCTAATGCATAGGGGCAAATTTTATAATATGAGGAGATGGACTCTCAGAATTTTGTGCCTGGGGAGAGGGAAGAGGAAGGAGGTGTCCAGTGACAAACCCCGCCCTTGCCACTCTACAGGAAAGTGGGAACAATGAGGTCATCTTCATGACCTTGGACTTGGCCAGTCTGGCCTCCGTGCGAGCCTTTGCCACTGCCTTCCTGAGCTCTGAGCCACGGCTGGACGTTCTCATCCACAATGCCGGTGAGGGGCAGCAAGCCCTGCAAGGGGGCAGTGGGTGGCCAGGGGCCAGAGTTCATGTGAGAAGGAAGCCCCCTACTCCCATCTCACAGATAGGAACACTGAGGCCTGCAGGGCCCCCTCCAGAGCAATTGCTCATGCCTAGCCGCTACTCCAGGGATCAGTTCCTGTGGCCGGACCCGTGAGCCCTTTAACCTACTGCTGCGGGTGAACCACATCGGCCCCTTCCTGCTGACACAGCTGCTGCTGTCCCGGCTGAAAACATGCGCCCCCAGCCGCGTGGTGGTGGTCTCCTCAGCTGCCCATCGGCGCGGGTGCCTCGACTTCACCCGCCTGAACCACCCGGTGGTGGGCTGGCAGCAGGAGCTGCGGGCATATGCTGACAGTAAGCTGGCCAACATATTGTTTGTCCGGGAGCTCGCCACCCAGCTTGAAGGCACTGGCATCACCTGCTACGCAGCCCACCCAGGTGAGGCCTAGCCCCTCAGTTGCTTCTGATGCCCCCTCTCCCATCCTTGCCCCACTCCGTGCTCCCCCAGCCTCTCACTGAGCCACAGAATCTCAGAACAGGAAGGAAGCAAGTCACAAGGAGGGGCTTGTCCCTCTGCTAATCTTGGAACCAGGCTCTCCTACTCTGGGTTCTTCCTCTCACACCAGAAGCTTGGATGCTGACCACTGGGTGGGGTATGGCAATGAATAAGACCCAGGACCTCGCCCCCAAAGAGCTATCCATACTGACTGAACTAACACTAATGATGATAGCTAACAATCATTAATTCATTCAAGAAGCATTTACTAGGCAGAAAGGGACAGCAGCTGGTTGAATGGACATGGGAAATTGGAGGTGGAAAGGAGTGTGCTGTCACAGTATAGGAGAGCAACTAAGGTCACATAGCAGTGTGTGTATAAATTTTATACGAGAAACTAACTTGAACTGTAAACCTTCATTTAAAGCACAATTAAAAAAAAAAAGCAGCAGCAGCAGCATTTACTGAGCACTTACTAGGTACCTGCCATCATTAGTCTCAGTGCTAGGGACACAACAGTGAACAAAACAAAGACCCTACCCTCAGAGAGTTTACATCCCAGTGTGGAGGAGGAGACAGACAACGAATAAATGAATAAATAAATATGTACAATGACAGGTGGTGATGAAATGATATGGGGAAAGATAAAACAGGATAAGGGGCATATGGAATGCCAGGGATGGGTCAAACCAAAACCAAACCAAACCCGTTGCCGTTGAGTTGATTCTGACTCATAGCGACCCTATACCGCAGAGTAGAACTGCCCCATGGGGCTTCCAAGGAGCAGCTGGTGCATTCAAACTACCTACCTTTCGGTGAGCAGCTGAGCTCTTAACCACTGTGCCACCAGGGCTCTGGGAGTGGGTAGGGAGTGCTATTTTATCTATAGCAGTCAAGGAAGACATATCTGAAAAGGTAACATTTAAGCAGAGGTCTGAAGGAGATGAGGGAGTGAGCCAGGTGGCTCTCTGGAGAGAAAAGTGTTCTGAACAGAGCAAACAGCAAGTGCAAATGCCCTGAGGCAGAACTGCCTGGGGTGCTTGAGGAGGATCAGGGAGGCTGGTGTGGCTGAAACAGAGTGAGAGGGGGAGAATGGAAAGAGATGAGGTCAAAGAGATGGGTTGGCTCATCTAGGATACCTTGTAAACACTGGCTTTTACTGAGTAAAAAACTGGTGAATAAGACCCACCTGCCTTCAGGGAACAGATTACAGAGGTATAACAAGAACTGCCCTACCCATATTACCATACTGCATTTTAGGTAGTCATTGCCTAAGGCTCATTAATAATTATAATCATTACGATAATAATAATCACAACTAACCTTTATTAAGCCTTTGTTACATGCTATATCCTTAGTGTTCAAAACAGTGGCTAGTATACCATAGGTGCTTAATAAATGTTTGCTGGTTAAACAAAGGAGTAGGGCTTGAGCTAGAAGATAAAGATAGAGAGACAGAATTGTTTCAGGCAGGGACATGGCATGAGCAAAATCTGGGAGGTGGGGATGTATAAGTAGTTTGGATGGAGGGGAAGGCTTCCTGTAGGAATGAGTGAAGTCACTTCGTGAATGCCTGATAAATACTATCTTGGCTTCTCTGGAACCCGGCTCTGTCCTCCACTCCCCCTCTGGCCCTGTTCCCACTGCCCTTACCCTGGGCCCCCATCTACCTTCCTCCCTACTCCTTCCTTCCTTCTTGCTCCCAGGGCCTGTGAACTCAGAGCTGTTCCTGCGCCATGTTCCGGGATGGCTGTGCCCACTTCTGCGCCCACTGGCCTGGCTGGTGCTGCGGACGCCAAGAGGGGGTGCCCAGACACCTCTGTACTGTGCTCTACAGGAAGGCATTGAACCTCTCAGTGGGAGATACTTTGCCAACTGCCGTGTGGAGGAGGTGCCCCCAGCTGCCCGAGACGACAGGGCAGCCCACCGGCTGTGGGAGGCCAGCAAGAGGCTGGCAAGGCTAGGGCCTGGGGAGGAAGCTGAACCGGGTGAAGATTCCCAGCCTGAGGACGCAGGGTCCCCTTCTTCTCTGAGCACCCCCCACCCTGAGGAGCCCACAGTTTCCGAACTCTACCCCAGCCCTCAGAGCTCACCAGACTTGTCTAAGGTCACATGCCGAAGTCAGATTAAAGCTGAGCCTGAAACCCCAACCTGCTAACCCCCAGGCCAAGTGCTTTCTACCCCACTTCATGGCCCTTGAAGGCCCCAGCTGTGCGCCAGGCCATGCCCTGGGCACTGAGGAGGTTGCCAAGTTTTACCTCTGTGGTTACTTTCTGGGGCCTCAAGGTACGCCCTGGATAGCACTTTTCCTGGTGGAAGGAAATGACTAGTTATTATTTCCCCCATCCCCCCACAGGGTAACAGTAACCCCAGATTGGGGGTGGGGATAATATGCCAGACACTGTGCTTCTCGGGAATTCGAATTTCAGATTTCCCGACTCCACCGTCAGTGATTCTGACCAGCTCCGGATTCCATAAAACAACAAGAAAAAAACCCTTTGCTGTTGAGTCAATTCCAAGTCCATAGTGACCCCGTGGGACAGAGTAAAACTGCCCAATAGGGCTTCCAAGGCTCAGAAGCAGACTGCCACATCTTTCTCCTGTGGAGCTGCTGGTGGGTTTGAACTACCAACCTTTTGGTTAGTAGCCGGACACTTAACCACCGCACCACCAGGGCTCCTTACCTCTGGATTAAAAAACCAAACCAAACCCGGTTGCCGTCGAGTCGATTCTGACTCATAGCGACCGGAAAGCTGTGATTAGATGCACTGCCAACGTTGAGAATTACGAACTGGGCCCTTTGCAACCATCCAGCTACGTAGTTATAATTACTCCTATTTTACAGACAGAAGATTAGGCTCCAGGGCTAAGGGACTCGCCCAAGGTCTCAGAGCTAGTTAGAGCAGGAGCTGGGATTTGAACCCCAGGCACTCTGGATCCAAGGCTGAGGCTGTTAGGTCAGTGCTGGGAGGCAAGTTAGGGCGGGGCACTTATCACCGAGGTGTCCCGTTAAGGTAGCGGGACGCCTCCCCCGAGTGCCTGACAACTGGGCGCCGCAATCTGGACTCCCTGTAATAAAAACTGTCCGCTGCCCGGGCTCGCGCGTTCCTTCCGCACTCAACTTGCCGGCCCCGCCTTCCGCCGCCACACTTCCGGCGGGGCTGCGACCCCGAAGGGGCACGGGCGGCCGCTGGGGGTGGCGGGATAGGCTGGGCGCGGCCGGTTGCTGTTGTCCAGCTCTCTGCGGTTCCCAAGGGCCCTGCGTCCCGCCGGCGCCATGGGCAATTGTCACACGGTAGGGCCCAACGAGGCGCTGGTGGTTTCAGGTGAGGAGGAAGCGAGGGAGGTGGGTGCTGGAGCGGGGTCTTGGGGTGGGGACTGTGCATGGGAAGGTGGCTGAGGAGGGGTTTCCGGGTGGGTGCAGGGCTGGGGAGGGAACGAGGATGAAGGGCTGGACCAGGAGAGGGGCTCAGAGGATGGAGGGCAGTGCCGGGGCTTGGGGGGCGAGGTTGGGCTGGCAGGTCTTGGGTCTGCGCTCCACAGGGCGCTGGCCTGGGCCGCACCTGGGAGGCCCCCTTCCCGGAAGAGACCTTCATGTCACACTTCGCATGCTCCGCTCCCTCGGGCACCCACCAGGGTCTACCCCTGCCACTGCGTGTTTTTCTGTGTTTAGCCTATCCTTTCTCCGCCTCCTCCCTAAGCAGGGCGTCCCCTCTGCTCCACCGTGGGCCTGGGGGTCCCGAATTGAATCGGTGGAGGGAGGAACCAGTGGTTCCGGGAACATAGCGGTTTGGCTGGATTCCAGCGCCCGGGACTCGGGTGGGTCCAGCAGCTCTGCAGGCAGGTGCCTGTATCGAGGAGGGGTCCTGAGACGTGGATCGTTTCTTGGGGCACAGTCCCCGTTAATTCCGAGCAGGCTGGGGCTTGCCGGGGATTTACTGGTATTGCCCGCCTTGGGAACGCGCTTGCGGCCTCTACAGGTTGGGAAACCGGGCCCTGGGCCGTGCTGCTCTGGAAACGCTGCAAGATTCCGCAATTTCTATATAGGTGCGGCTTGGGGGCTGCAGTATTAGGGGGGTGGGGTAAGGGGAGACTTACCTTAAGGCTGCTATTTAGATTGTATATTTGGGGTGCCTCGGGAGTAGCCGAAGCCTTCAAGTCACTAGTTTGTGCAGCCCCTGGCTCATAGGTGCTGGGGAGGGGGCTGTGTTGCCTGACAGCTTGTAGGCCTGTAGCTGCAGGAATCCCTCACGTCTTACTTCCCGCCATCAATACCGGTTTTCAGTCTGTGTGAAGAGTTGTCAGGGCTGAGCGACTGAAGTGGGTAGAAGAGGGGGCTAGGCCAGGGCTTGTAACTGCCCACCCTTGGGGAGGTATGAGAATCCACTGGGAACTTTCACCCCAAAGCATGACCTCTGGCCCACTTTGGATCTCAAAATTAATCTCACACTGGAACAGGAAATCCCCACCCTCCCTGATCAGGACCCCACTCCTGTTGGGGAGAAAGATACTCCACTCCCCTGAAGACCAGAGACAGCCTGGAGGTCAGGAGAGAGTACACCAGGGCCAAACTTGCTCTTCTAAGATCTGGGCCTGTCTCCCAGCCTCCAACCCTAGAGAAGGCCTTTAGAAAGCCAAAGAAACACACTTTGTTTTTCTTGTGGAGTTTCTTTCTAAAAGTCCAGACTCTGGGCTGAGGGGATAGAAGCTCCAGTTCTGTCTCTGTGGAATGTCCTGAGACTGAGGGGTGAGTGGAGCCCCTAAGACAGACAGCTAGAACCTGGTGCTCAGGTCACAGGCCAATGCAGTGCTAGCTTTGCAGCTGTTTAGGGGGTGGGGAGAAGAGGCCCTGGCTAAGCTTTGAGGGTGATGGAGTCATGGAAGGGCAGAAGAGGAGAGGGAGGGATAATACCTAGCATAATGGTACCTTGGAATTTGAGATGATTTGGTTGAGATGCAGCTCCCTCTTGCGAGTGGACTCCCAGGAGAGCAGAGAAGCTACTCCAGTCCTGCCCTGCCTGCCAGCCTTGTTACTTGGGCCTGCAGCTAAGTGAGGCACCTCAGTCAGCCCCTGTTTCACAAGGAGGATGTGGATACATCTCATGGTCATCTTTTCTACCTGGAAAGTCTGGAAGTTCTTGTTATCTAACCTCCCTCCTTCATTCTGTAACAGAACACCTTTTTCTCTATTTCTACTTACCGGAATTTAGGAGGGTAATCTAAATACTACACTTTTCTTTCATGCCTACAATAGGTAAGAGATTCTTTACCTGGGGTTTATAGATAGAATTTAGAGGTCTGTGAGTTTGGATGGGAAAAAAATTATGTTTTTATTTTCACTAACCTTAACAGAAACTTTGTAATTACGAACGTAAACAAATCATAATAGTATCAGCAGAAATTTTCCTACCACATTGAAATTGTTGCAGGTACCTTGAAAGGTCATCACTACTTTGAAATTAAGCTAGTTATTAGATCAACCAATAGATTTTATAATTTAACGTGTTAATAAAAAAGCACTGATGTTACTATATCACACATTTGGTTGTTTTCGTATTTTGGTAACTTTCAATATAATTTGTTTCTTATGTATTTTTTTAAGTGTATTTAGAAACATCCTGAGAGGGGGGTCCTTAGGCATTGCCAGACTACTAAAGGGGTTTGTGGCTCAAAAAAGACTAAAACCAGTTGCCATCACGTCAGCTCCAACTCATGTCAATCCCATGTGTGTCAGAGTAGAACTGTGCTTTACAGGGTTTTCAATTTCTGACTTTTCAGAAGTAGATCACCAGGCCTTTCTTCCAAGGCACCTCTGGGTGGACTTGAACCTTTCAGTTAGCAGCCAAGTGCATTAACAACGTTTGCACTACCTAAGGACTAAAACCCCGTTATAGTTTATGGTGTTCTTGGCTGTTGGTGGTTGCCATCGAGTGGATTCCGACTCAAGGTAACCCCACGTGTTACAGGGTAGAACTTCTCCATAGAGTTTCTTGGTTGTAATCTTTTTTTTTTTTATTGTTGTAAAAACACATATAATACCACATTTTCCAGTTCAGCACTTTTCAGGTGTACACTTTAGTGATATCAGTGACATAATCATGTTGTACAACAACTACCCACACTGCTTCTTAAACAACGGCTCCCCTTCCCCTTCCTCCTTCCCACCGCTGGTAACCGCTAGCAAACTTCAGTCGCTATACATTTGACTTGACTGTAATCTTTTTTTTTAATTTTTTCCCATACAAAAATTGATACATACATTGTTATGTGACTCTAATTGCTCTCCCCATACTGTGACAGCACACTCCTCCTTTCCACCCGATTTCCCATGTCCATTCAACCAGCTCCTAAACCTCTCTCCTTCCCATCTCACCTCTGAACAGAAGCTGCCCGTTTAGTCTCTTGTATCTACCTGAGCTAAGTGGCACACTCCTCATGAGTATCACTTTATGTCCCACAGTCCATTCCAATCCCTGTCTGAAGAGTTGGCCTCGGAACTTGTTTTAGTTCTGGGCTGATAGAGAATCCAGGGGCCGTGCTTCCTGGGGTTCCTCCAGTCTCACTCAGACCATTAAGTCTGGTCTTCTTACTAGAATTTGAGTTCTGCACCCCACCTTTCTCCTGCTCCATCCAGGACTCTCTATTGCATTCCCTGTCAGGGCGGTCATTGGTGGTAGCCGGGCACCGTCTAGTTCTTCTGGTCTCAGGCTGATGAAGTCTCTGGATTATGTGACTTGGCTGTAATCTTAATGGATCGCCAGGTCTTTTCTTTCTCAGTACTGCTGGTTGAATTCAAACCACCAATATTTAGGTGCAAACTGTTTGCACTCCTCAGGGAAGAATAAGGTGGAGGAGAGGGAGGAAGGGAAGGGAGTGTTGCTGGGAGGGCAGAGGTCAGGCTGTGTCTGGGGAGGGGCTGAGATTATTTTGTAGGGTTGTCTTGGGGTATGTTGTGGTCCTTCAGTTTAAGGCCAGAGCAAGCAAATGCACATTGGGTTAGAAGTGAGATAAAACTAGGAAGAACTTGCGGGTCTCAAGATGAGTGAGAGCTAGGGAGCTCAAGAAGAGGCACCTAGAGTGTCCTCTTTTGGGAACGGTGCTCAGGCTGAGAATACCTGGGAAGCTGGGAGGATGCCTTCCCAAGGAGGAGACTGCTAGGGATGGGGCAGCCTGGCATTCCCAGCTTCCTGTTGCTATCCCTGGGAACCTGGCCATGTCTTCCTTGGCCAAGGTCCAGCTTAAGCTATGGCAGCCTGCTCCCAATGTCAAAGAATAAGTTAAAGGTAAAGGGAAGACACCCCTTCAGCCCCCTCCATTCCACCCCACCACTACAACCTCCTTCACAAAGCCCCCTGGAACAGGCTGGAGGCAGCCGTGCCCCGCCCCTGGCAGGCCAGAAGAGGTGGAAGAGGGACAAGCTGTGATTTTTGTCCCTCCTTCAGTTTCACTTGATCCCATGATGGTTGGGTTTCAGATTGACTGCTTGTCCTCAGAGGCCTCCCTACCCTACTTCCCAGGGCAGACAAGCCTGCAGTGGCTTACGTCGAGCAGCAGCCCTGTGGACAGGTATTTCTACCCCAGAGAAACAGACAGAGACCTAAGACTTCCTCTTCCCATCCCTACCAACACTGTGGGCTCCCTCCACCCTGTGCACAGCAGGCCTAGGAAACCGAGTGACTGGCTGGGGAGCATGAGCAGTCTCAGCTCTCCAGCCTTACAAGTCCTCCCCACTAGGGTATCTTTGTTCCTTCACTCCCCCCATCCAAAACTTGGCCCCGCTCACTTTTCCCTCCGTTGTCTCTGGTTGTTGGCCTTACCGCCCACCCAAACCAGGGCTCTAGAGCTGCACTGTCCAATATAGTAGCCACTGAAGGAGCCCTGGTGACACAATGGTTAAGTGCTCAGCTGCTAACAGTAAAGTCAGCAGTTGGAACCCACCTTCGGCTCTGTGGAAGAAAAGACCTGGCAATCTGTTCCCGTAAAGACTGCAGCCTAAGAAACCCTATGAGGCATTTCTACTCTGTCCTGTAGGGTCGCTATGAGTTGGAATCGACTCAGTGGCACACAACAACAGCAGCCACATGTGGCTATTTAAATGAATTTAAATTAAAAATTCCGTCCCTCAGTCATACCAGCTGCTTTTCAAGTGCTCAGTAGCCACATGTGGCTAGGGCAGCTGTATTGCTGAGCACAGATATAGAACATTTCCAACATCGCAGAAAGTTCTCTTGAACAGTACTGCTGTAGAAGTTACCCCCACTCTCTCTTTCCTCCCCCTCTACATCAACCACCAGGTCTTGCCTGAGTTACTGCAAGAGGCTTCTACCCAGTCACCCTGACTTCCAGGATCTTCCTCCTTGTGCAAAGTGGTTTTTTTAAAAAGCAAATCTAGCTTTGTTGCTCCCCACCTTAATTCCCTGTGCCCCCCTGCCCCCATCACTTACACGGAGTAAGGCCACAGCTCCTCAGCCTGACAGGCAGGACACACCCTGATTTGCCCTCTGCCCCTCCACCCCACCGTGTCCTCTGCTGTGCGTCCTTGGCTGTATAAAACCTATACCTTTGATCTTGGGAGGCACACACCTGAGGCTTTTACGAAAGCCCAAGTTTGTGAACATGGAAACAATGACACCCATTGTCTTTTTCCCAAATCACATTTCCTTCAATTCATGTGTTTCCTGTACATTTCTTTGCACTGCAAGTTAATTGTATCTCAGCTTTTACTAAATTTTTTTTTTTTTTTTAGCTTGATGACTAATTTAGGCATTGGCGGGAGGGTCCAGTACAAGAATTTCAGGAATTGATGTGTCTCGTTTCTACATACAGACTATGCCAAACTAGTTCACATGGATCGGGTCATGCTGAATTAGACATTTTACTTAGTTGCTACTAAGTTCCCAGTTTAGATCTTCTCACTTTCCCTTCACTTCTCCTGTTGGTACCACCAGTTGGTTTTTGTTTTGAAGCCTTTCTTTCTCTACCCCCTCCCACAAGAGGAACAACCCAAAAAAAAAAGAAAAACCCAGACACATTGCCATCCAGTGAATTCCAACTCATAGTGACCCTAAAGGACAGGGTAAAACTTCCCCATTGGGTTTGCAAGGCTGTCATCTTTACAGAAGTAGACTGCCACATCTTTCTCCCACGGAGCAGCTAGTGGGTTTGAATCGCTGACCTTTCAGTTAGCAGCCTAGCCCTTTAACCACTACACCACCAGGGCTCCTTAAGAGGAACAAAGAACCTCTAAAAGCCCCAGGGATAGAGACCCAGCCTCCCTGAGATGCCCTGCCTTTGCTGGGAGACCCCCCTCCTGCCACCAGCCTCCCTGGGCTGGTCCACCCTCTGCTTTCCCTCTCTGTCTGCGTACACCCTGATGGCAGGCAAACCACGTGGTATTACAGTCATCTCAGGAAAAGGTCTCACCTCTTAGGCTCACCTCCTCCAAGACAGGAAGTATATTTTCATCTCTATATCCTTAACGTATAAAAATACTCTACTTGTTTGTTGAATGAATTAAGGGATGGTTGAATGAAAACTGGAGTCCCTGGGTGGTGCAAGCCGTTAATGCACCCAGCTGCTAACTGAAAGGTTGGAAGTTCAAGTCCACTCATAGGTGCCTCAGAAGAAAGGCCTGGTTGTCTACTTCCAAAAAACCAGCCATCCAATATCTCTATGGAGCAGAGTTCTATGTTGACACACATGGGGTTGCCATGAGTTGCAGTCAAGCCATTGGCAACTGGTGGTTTTTGAATGGAAAATGAAAGTTTTTCCTGACTGCTGACCTGTTCTGTTTCCTGGAAACACTAATATTCTGAACCACTCGTTAGATATTAGTTCCTCTTTATGCAAATTTCCTGTGTCCTAAACTAGATCTAAGGCTCCTTAAGGGCAGGGAGACTGTGTCTCCCATTGATGTATACCTCAGCCCCTGGCACCCAGCAGTGGGAGTTGTCAAGTCTCAGAGCAGAATAAAGGACCAAAGTTGCTGTCAGAGGGATGGAGGGTGGACAGGCCCAAGAGCTGACTGACAGCAGTGATTTGCTTTACTCCCCAGGGGGCTGTTGCGGTTCTGACTATAAACAGTACGTGTTCGGCGGCTGGGCCTGGGCCTGGTGGTGTATCTCCGACACACAGAGGTAAGGGCCTGGAGGCTTGGGAACCTGTCATCCTGCTGAGCAGGGGAGAAAGGGCTTCCCAGCGTTCCCCCACTGCACCCCATGGGTCAGCTAGAGCATCTGCCATTTGTCACGTTCCGTTCTGGGGGGTGGGGGCCTCCTAACAAGCAGGTGAAATAAGCTGCACAGGGATGCAGGAGGGCTGCATCAGGAAGGTCTGTCCGTGGGTGCCACCCCCTTAATGGGTGCTCTTTCCCACTGGAGGCTGGCATCACTTTTGTCCCAGGGAATTCAGGGCCATACCTAGGCAGAATCCCAATTTCCTGATTCTAGCTCAAAGTTAGTCAAGAACCCTTAATTTTACACCCAGTTTGGATAGGATTTGCTGTGCAGACCCTAGGACCATTCAGGCAGGTTCCATGGGCAGAGAGCAGGCAGAGATAGGTGGCAGAGAATGGATGTACAGTCTGAAGTGGCTCTGTAACAAGTCCAATTTAGGGACAAGGGGCAGGGATCTAAGGGATCGCTGCCTCCCTGGTGGCATAGTGGTTAAGAGCTTGGCTGCTAACCAAAAGATCAGCGGTTCAAATCCACCATCTGCTCCTTGGAAACCCTATGGGCCAGTTCTGCTCTGTTCTGTAGGGTCACTATGAGTCAGAAGCGACTCGACAGCACCTCACTACAACAACAACGTTATTGGAGCCCTGCTGGTGCAGTGGTTAAAAGCTCAGGCTGCTAACCAAAAGATCAGCGGTTCAAATCCACCAGCCGCCCCTTGGAAACCCTAGGGGGCACGTCTGCTCTGTCCTGTAGGATTGCGATGAGTCGGAATCGACTCAACAGCAACGGGTTTAATGTTTTTGGTTTTTTATGTTGTTGTTAGCTGCTGTTGAATCGGCCCTGGACCTCCTGAATCAGTCTGGAAAGACTAGAGGAGGGGAGATTTCAGCTCCCCAGAGGGCCACCATCATACTCTCCCTGCTAGCTCCCCTTGCCACCTGAGTATGGGGCATCTGAGGGACCCAGATCCATCCAGGCCAGGACTCAGGCAACAAGGGCAGCAAGCTGTGAATGTGTGGGCATGTTGCTGGGGGGGGGGCGCTCATCCCAAAGGGGAAGCGATGGAGATTCCAGTCATCAGAGAAAAGCCCCACGTCTTTACCAAGCTGCTAGTGCCTAGGGCCCCCGGAGGCTAGGGGCATCTGCTGGGTTGGAGGGATTGGGAAGCATGTCACACCTTTTTAATTTCACTGACTTCCCAGTAACACCCTCCACTCTCCCATCTCTCCCCACACTCTCCCCTGCCTAAGTTGAGGGATCCTGAGGGACTCTTCTGTTCCAAGGCCAAAAGTGTCTCAGAGAAATCAATATTGGCCACAGCATCCACTCATGAGGAACTGAGCACTCCTCAGTGGGCCAGTAGCCTGTGGGGAGACACTGCCACCCTACCCCACCCCCCAGGCAGTCCCAGAACAACAGAGTATCTTGTCCACACACCCCCACTAAGCACCTCGACTTACAGCTGGGCCCAGAGAGTGTGCAGCTTGCCCAGAGACCTGTGCAGCATGGGCATCCACTGCCTGTGCCAACGCCCTTCAGGCCTTTCTCCATGTTCTCGATCTCCCTCGCTCACCCTCTTCATGCTCTGGGGAGCAGAGCCCGGGACAGGAGGGAGGGCCCTCCAGGCCTCTCTGACAGTGGGTTTGGAAGTGAAGGGGGAGGGCCTTGTACCTTGTCCTAGGAAACGATCTCACACCCAAGGTCAGCATCTTCCTTCTGGTCCCCCTCACTGGGTGGTCTGAGCCTGCAGCCCTTCCCCCTCTTGGACTCTTTTCTGGGGGGGCATCCCCTTCCGCCACCCTAGCCTGCTTGGGGGACATCTGGACCGTGGTCCCCAACCTGGAGCCTTCATATCTCCAGGCTGGCAGGAGCCTCTCAGGCCAGTGTAGAGGCTTCTAGCCCAGCCTGGACACTCAAACTTTTGAGGTTGCAGCCAGCCTATATGTCACCCACCCCCGATGTCAGCCATTCTTCCTCCAGACTCCATGAAGTGTCCCTCCTACTGCACTTTGCTGCTCATCCTGTACTGTCACGAGGCCCTGATGTGGACAGTACTGTCTCCCCTACCTGAGCTACTCCTCCACCTCTGGCATCTGAGCTGCAGCCTCCTGTCTTCCTCCCCTCCTCCCTTCCCTCCCTGCCTCTCTACCACTTCCCTTCCACTTCCTTTCCCAGAAGAGAACTTGATGGGTTTCTGTCTAAGGTGGGTCATGAGTCCTCTTAGGCCCAGGGGTGCTAGTGTTAGGGGCTCGAATGAAGGCAACCTTTGCATGTCTGCATGGCCAGAGCCCCCAAGGCTGGCACTGTGAGAGGGACCCCTCCCAGAGTGCAGGTAGGGGTTCCATGTTGCCTACTGCTCCCCACCTCCTCTGCCCCACCAACCCGCCTGCTTCTGCCCCTTCAGCCTCAGGCTTTGTCCTCCCTTTATCTTGTTTAAGGAAACCTTCCATGCCGTTCACAGCCTGGCCTCTGCCTGGACCATCACCCTGCACACATGCACGCACACTGTCCTAGGAAGGCCCAGCCAGTGTGAGTCAGGTCACTTCCAGGCACCTTGTTCTCTTTGCCGGGATAGCCTTCTCTGCCTAGACCTAACTTTGGAGATTTCAAAGTGCATTACTCCCTCACCTCTCAGTTGTCCCTGTGAATATTCTGGCAGTGGCAAACTTTCTCCCCCTAACTTCCTTGACTCCCCAAATTAACACATTCAATATTTTCTCTGAGCCGTTTTCTGGCCCTAAATTGCCTTCTCCGTGCTGTGTAGCACAGACCTCAAGTGTTTGTGCTCTGAGCAGGATTCAGTATTTTCTGTGACTCGTTAATCCCCAGAGTGGCCTTTCCCCCTCCCAATGTCTAGAAATGCAGGCTTGCCTGTGTGTGGAGGGTTACCCCAAGGCCACGTCCCTGAGATTGTGCCAGGAATCTCCTGGGAAAGTGAGGTGGGGAACCCCGGTACCCTGCAGACAGGCCTCCCGAGCTCAGGCTGTGGGCCAGGGCCTCAGCAGGGCTCTCCCTGAGCCCAGCAGCTCTGCATTAGAAGGGCATTAGGCTAGAGAAGAGGCCCAGAGACCTCAGGCCCGCGAGAGGGTGCCTCTGCCCTCCCACAGCCCTAGGCTAAGCTGGCAGTGGGGGATTGAAGCATGGAGAGAGCACCTGCGCCTGCCCCCAGGCATCAGGCATTGGTGCTTGTCTGGTAACCACTGTGTGTGTTTGCTGTGTCCCTTCCTACCTCTTCCTGTCCCTACCTCTCCCTACCCCCTGGCTGCTCCTCAGACTGTCTCTGGAGGTTATGACCATCCTGTGTCGCTGTGAGAATATTGAGACGTCGGAGGGGGTCCCGCTATTCGTAACAGGGGTTGCACAGGTAATAACCCACCTGCTTCCTCCTCTGTGTCTAACGTTTTCTTCCTGCCCCATTGGGGCCTGGCAGGCAGGACCTGGACAGACTTCCTCCTGATCAGGCACCTCCCTCTCCTCTGCCCCTCCCCTCTGCTGCTCTGGGTGCAAAGGCGACCACAGCCAGGATGGATCCCTGTAGACTCAGACCCCTCGCACTCGTCCACTGGGGCTGCACGTGGGGAAAGAGCAAGGGATTATGGAAGCTCTGCCAAGTCCACCAGTGGGTCTCCCTGAATGCCTCACTTGGGAGGGAGTTGAAGCAGAACAGATAAGAAGACAAAGCTCTTATGCGACAGAGCTGACTGTCCAGGTGGGGCGGGCTCAGTTCTACCCACCCTGCTGAGGTTCTGATCCTTCTCGGCACAGGCACCATGAACCCCTTGCTAGTCCCTTTTCCAGGCCCAGTGTCAGGCCCCAGTCCTCTCTGCAAGACCAGGAGATGGGACCCACAGAGAACTGTGTTCATCCAGCCCCTGGGCTCCTCCTCAGCTTCTGAGTATAATCTCCATGACAGGCTTGAGGGGAAAGGTTTGTGACTGGGCCTCAGTTTTCTCATCCCTGAAATGGGGAGAATCATGCCCTCTTTCTGCCTTGTAAGGGTATTGAAAAGGCAAATAAAATGATGAGGGATTTGGGATTTTTGGAAAAGAAGTGCTAGAGATACCCAAGCTTTATTATTAATACCATCTCACTTTGAAAAGCAAGTGAAGCTAGTGACTTGCTCTTCAATCCCATCCAGCATGGCTGGTGAAAGCCATTCTTGGGCCAGGGTATTAAGTAACTCCAAGTGACTTCTCTCTGATGTGCAGGTTCCCATCTTCATTGCTTCATTCGCCAGCTCTTTACTGAGCACCTTCTCAGTTCCAGGCACTGGGGGTGCAGCCGTGAACGTGAAAACATCCCTGTCCCCTTAGAGTCTGCATCCCAGTGGAAGAGAACTAGCCGTCATCTCCCTCTGCCCCCTCCTTCTGCACTAAAGAGCCCCTCAGACTTCTCAGGCAAAAATCTTCCCCAACCACTTCCTTCCCCACCCATCCTGCCATCTCTAATCAGGAAGGGGACCATCCCCTAAATCTAATCAGCCCCTGGAGCTGTGGGAGGGCAAGTTTCAGGGCACAGCCTGAGGAGAAGCTCCAGAGCATCTTGTGTGGAATGGGCACCACCCAAGCCCCCCTCGACACCCCACGTGAAGCAGCCCCACCCCCCTCCAAGCCCACTATACTACTCAAGACATCTGTAGATGTCCTGGTCCTTGTCAGGCTGGGTGACTGTGGACCCTGGAGGAGTCAGTTGTCTGGGCATCTGAGGGTTCGCGCTTCTTGGCCAGGATACTCTCAGGTGTCCCCAGCCTGTGTCCCCCACATGTTCTGCCTGGGCCCAACACCAGAGGGCGGGCTTCAAGTCAGAGCCTGTTGCCCAGTGGAGGGACCTGGCAGGGCTTCCCTGGCAGGGCTTCCCTGGCAGGGGCAGGTGCAGGACCACTTCCCCCTCGGCCCAGCAGTGGGCATACTCCTATCCCCTGCCAGGATGCCAAGCTACCAGGAAGAGCTTTCTAGGCAGTCACCTGCAGCATCCAGAGAAGGGGTGACGGTCCCCTGGGGGTGTTCACATGGCGCCCATGGCCAGCCTACACGGCAGGGCCTGGAGTACCAACACCATCTGCTCCCTCAGGACATGCACACACAGCACACCAGGGCTCTTCCCTACCCCACCAGCCTTCAGACCACCCCCAGCCACCTCTTGTCCACTTCATCTTCCCCACCATTCAGGCCAGGCTGATTTGAGCAAAGGTAGTGTGTGCACATGGGTAGCACACTCACACTCCTTCCCTGGGGCCACCTGCACCCACCCTGCCCTCCCACCCACTGCCTTCTGACACACTCCCAGACTAATCTGGTGCTGAAACCCCTTGGGAAATCCTCCCCAACCTCATCCTCAACAGGACCCTTGGCCCTTCCCAGCTGGAGCAGTGAGGTGCCGAACTCGTTCCTCACACCCCCAGGCCCCGGGCCCCCAGACCTATGCCCCTGTTTTGCGTTTCTTGGCAGGATTTCCCTAGAGATTATGACGTTGCAGCCCCGCTGCGAGGACGTAGAGACGGCCGAGGGGGTAGCTTTAACTGTGACGGGTGTCGCCCAGGTATAGTAACTCAGCAGCCCCTCGCATGTCCGTTGAGCTGCCTCATCCCCGTGCTGGGATTTGGGGGGAGGAGGAGAGGACAGCAGCCAGGGGCAGTCTCCCTCCAGCACCCTGCCCCGTGACCCAAGAGAGGGTCGTCACCACTGGAACATGCTCACGCGGCCCCCTTGGCCACCCAGCAGGACTAACAGACACCTCTTCTCTCCTCAGCGGGCCCGCGAGGGACGGAACCAGTGCTGAGGGCTCCTGTCTTACTAACCCTTCCCCACATTCTTTGCAGGTGTCAGCAATGCCAAGCCCTAGAATCCAGGCCTTCCCTGTCCCCTGGGCAGGGGGGTGGCAGGGTGGGGCCCAGGGGAGAGACAACGTGAAGCAGAGGACGCTCTGGACTCTGGGAGTCGGAGCCTGCGTTATAGTCCCCGCTTGGATGCAGGGGTGAGGGGCCTCCTGCCCTGTCCTACTCCACCTCTCGACTTCACAGGGAAAGGAGGGTTAACATGCTCCTGGCCTCCAGTGAGGGGGGCCATTGGGTGAGAACCTGAGGAAGGAAAGGCGGGAGAACACACACCCTCGGTGGCATTCCCTCCGGCCTGTCCGCTGCCCTGTCTAGACTCTTTCCCAGTCTGTCTGTCTGTGCCCTTGTTGTTCATTCTCCTTTTCACAGTCCCTGCCTGTCAAGCCTGAGGGTCTCCCACATGTGGGGCATCCTCGGGTGCCTGCTGGGGAGGGGTTGGTTAGTGGGGAAACAGTGGGCTAGAGGGGTGGGGGACAAGCCCCAGGTACCCGGGAGAGAGGCCACATGTGGGCCTGGGACTGCCAGTGAGGGTGAAGTGTCTCCGTAGCTGGAGAATTCCTTAAGCTGCTGCCTCCCCCCGGGGGCTCAGAGCAACTCCTGTCCCCAACCCCTGGGGCCTTCAGGTCTGAAAAAGGCCCGGGCACAGTTACCACGCCCACACCTCTGGGTCTGGGACCTCCATGTTCCTCCCACCAGCCTGGCTCAGGTGCTTGTTTGACCACCGGCAGGTGAAGATCATGACGGAGAAGGAGCTCTTGGCCGTGGCCTGCGAGCAGTTCCTGGGCAAGAATGTGCAGGACATCAAGAACGTCGTCCTGCAGACCCTGGAGGGGCACCTGCGCTCCATCCTTGGTGAGGCCCTGCCCCGCCCAGGGGCCCCACGACTGCCTCCCAGGAGCCCCACAGGGCCCCTTACTCTCTGAGCCAACCCAGGATTGGGGTGGGGAGGATGCTGGGCGGGGCGGGGCAGGGCCTTTCAGTCCTACCAAGATTTCGAGCTGCAAAGCTGAGACATATTCCCTCAAGTGCGTCACTTCAGAACTTCAGGCGACTGAGTGAAGGTGAGGGCAGTGGGGGGAGGGGACATGCCAGTCTGCTCAGGAACCTGGAGCTGTTTGGGATGCTTTTCCCTCATCCAGCCTGGACTCTGCAGAAGGAGGCTGAGTGTGAAACACTGTTAGCAAGAAACCCCAGGAAGGCCTGTCTGGGTCTGCACACCTACACCTCTCCGTGCATGCCTCCTTCCCTCCCTGCTGGCTAGGCCCCTGAGGAGCCAGCCCATGATCCCTCTGCCCCCAGGGACCCTGACTGTGGAGCAGATTTATCAGGACCGAGACCAGTTCGCCAAGCTGGTGCGGGAGGTGGCAGCCCCTGACGTCGGCCGTATGGGCATCGAGATCCTCAGCTTCACCATCAAGGTGCGGCGTGATGGGAGAGCCACGTCCCCTAGCGTCTGTCTGGGAGATGGACACTTGGCGGGAAGGGCACCTTTGTGCCTGTGGCTGTTCCCGGAGATGACTCACCCTCCCTCCCCAGGACGTGTATGACAAAGTGGACTATCTGAGCTCCCTGGGCAAGACGCAGACTGCCGTGGTGCAGAGAGATGCCGACATTGGCGTGGCTGAGGCTGAGCGGGACGCGGGCATCAGGGTATGTGGGATTTTCTTCCCACCCCCAGGGACAGGGAGTTCAGGGCCAGTGGGACCATATCCCCTCAGGGACGCTCAGCACCTGCTCCTCCACCTGCCAGGAAGCCGAGTGCAAGAAGGAGATGCTAGATGTGAAGTTCATGGCAGACACCAAGATCGCCGACTCCAAGCGAGCCTTTGAGCTGCAAAAGTCCGCCTTCAGTGAAGAGGTCAATATCAAGGTGAGAGGCCATGGGGCATCCTGGGGTGGGGCTCAGGGCCCAAGACTTGGTGTCCAGCCTCTGACGTGCCAACCACACACCTTCCATAGACGGCCGAGGCCCAGCTGGCCTACGAGCTGCAAGGGGCACGTGAGCAGCAGAAGATCCGGCAGGAAGAAATCGAGATCGAGGTTGTGCAGCGCAAGAAGCAGATCGCGGTGGAGGCACAGGAGATCCTGCGCACAGACAAGGAGCTCATTGCCACTGTGCACCGTCCGGCTGAGGCTGAGGCCCACCGCATACAGCAGATCGCCGAGGGTGAAAAGTGAGTGCCTCCCCATGTCAGGGTCAGGGGTCAGGCAGGGCCCTACAGCCTCTTCTGCCGACGGTACTCCCTCCACTCTCCCGACCACAGCTTAGAAGTCACTTCTCCCCCGAGTCTGTTTACTCACCGTGAAGTAGGGACAATGCCACCTTCCCCATAGAATTGTGTAAGACTCAACTAGATACAAGAGATTTGAGTGCTTGGCGTAGTGCTTGGCACAGGGCACCCTGGTTGGTGCTCTCTGCCACCTGCACCTGGTAGCTGGTGGCCTCTTTCTGGCCAGAGCCAGAAGGTCCCCTTTTCAGTGTCCCCCACCCCCAACACCTGCCAGAGCAGAGGGCTTAAGGGCTTACCGGCTCCCAGGCAGGCCTAGAGATCCTGATACACTCACTGCGCCCACCCACTCGGGCTCCCTCAGGGTGAAGCAGGTCCTTTTGGCGCAGGCAGAGGCTGAGAAGATCCGCAAAATCGGGGAGGCGGAGGCTGCAGTCATTGAGGCGATGGGCAAGGGAGAGGCTGAGCGGATGAAACTCAAAGCTGAAGCCTACCGGAAATACGGGGACGCAGCCAAGATGGCCTTGGTGCTGGAGGCCCTGCCCCAGGTGAGGCTCCCACACCGGGCTGGGACTCAAGTGGCCTGACCAATGGAGGCTGTCAGGCCTGGATTCGAGTCCCCTAGCTTGACTAGCTGGGCAAGTGCCAGAACTTCTCAGACTTGTCAGTAACACACAGCATCAGGCTGACTGGAAGGGTTAAACGAGGAAAATACGCAGCCGGGAGCAGGAACAATACAACAGGCATAGGCTCATCCCTGGCCCACTGGGCCTGTCTGATTGCCCTGGCTTGCAAATAAGGGCCAGTCCAGGCTGCTTTGGGGTCTGGTGAGGTAGAGAGGCAGGGAGAAAGCAGATGTTTGACAGATGGAGTCAGAGCACTAACCAAGCTCTCTTCCCACCCACCTCCTAGATTGCTGCCAAAATCGCCTCCCCACTGACCAAAGTCGATGAGATTGTGGTCCTCAGTGGGGACAACAGCAAGGTAGCATCAGAAGTGAACCGACTGCTGGCCGAGCTGCCTGCCTGTGTGCACGCCCTCACAGGTGTGGACCTATCTAAGGTGTGTACCCAGCCGGATAGGGGGTGGCCTGGGCAGCCCATGGGACTAGCCCAGGTGGAGCAGTCCTGGGCCCCAGAGCTATGACCTCACTGGGATCTCCCATCCTTGCAGATACCCCTGATCCAGAAGGCCACTGGTGCACAGGTGTGAGGCTCGCAGGCCCACACCCTTCAGCAGCCACCTGCCCCTTCCTCCAGCACCTGGTGTAATACCACAGGGACAACGGGAACGTTACTGGCTCTGGTGCCTTATTTTGTAGGGACCAGAAGTGCTGCGTGTTCAGGCCATCTCTGGCTGTCTTCCCTTCTTCCCTCCTGTCTCTGTCTGTCTCCCTCTGCCTTTCCACGGCCCCATATATTCACTTTCACTGCCACGTTCATCTGATGGTCTCTTTCACCCTCACGTCCCTGTGTGTCTCTTCTTCTGTCTGTCTCCCTCTCTTTTCCCTCCCACTCCCTACATACATCACGTAGTTTAAGCTGAAGATGTTTATTATATTCACTGTCTGTCTGTGGGGTGCGGCCCTGCTGCTCCTCAGAATCCTGGTGCCTTGAAGTTCTCCGTGCATCTGTCCGTCCTCCCTATGCCCTTGCCCAGAGCTCTGCATGGGTGCAGGGGTTCTGGGTAGGACGGCCACCCTTCCCACCCCTGGCCTGGTCTTCCCAGCCCTACGCCCTGCCCCAAGGAAGCCCTGGCCTTAGCTGCTGCTGCCCCTCCCTCTGGGCCTGGGTAGCCGTGGCCTCAGGACCCAGGGCCACTGCCCTTCTCTCCCCCTCCCCCAGCCCCAGGCCTGATCTCATACTCCAGCCCTGTCTCCCCCACACCAGGGGCACAGAGGGAAGGCCTCCTGTCTGTAGCAGCTCCCTCAGTTTACTGCTGCCTTAGGAGGCCCCTGCTTGTGCTCCGGGAAGTCAAGTCCCCTTCATGGGCATGTCCCTGCTAGGTGGGGAGAGTTTGGTCTCAACTCTGCTAAGCCTTTCTGGGATCGGGGCCAGGCCAGTGGGGACAGGAAAGTATGTAGACTTTTCCCGCTAGGGCTGTGCTGCCTTGGCTATCGGGCCCTGCCAGCAGACAAGGCTGTGTACAGAACTGAGTGCTGCAGGCTGGCCAGGCCCCATACCCCCTGTGCCATCTTTCTTTCTGGCCAAGTGGCAGGGTTCCAGCAATGCGGAAGCTGCCCAATCCTCTCTCTCCTTGCTCCGGTGGAGACAGAAGAGCCCAGGCCCAAGTGTCCTGGCAGGGGTGCTGTGGGTGTCCTTTGGTCCTAATCCCCCACTCCTGGTTCTGCCCCAGCCTGTGTAGCTGTTCCTGCATGTGGATGCTGCATGTCTGGTCTGGGGCTTGGATGCTGCACTGCCCCACCACCTGTCCCATCTGGTATAATAAAGATCTTTTATGCCCACCCCTGCATTGTGTCTTCTGTGAGGGAAGAGACGGAACCAAGAACCGACCAGGTCCCCCACATTTAACACCCATCAGCTTCAACCCAGCCTTTTGCCTGTTCTTCCCCATCCTAGCCACTGGGTGGTGTTGGCACATTGGCCATACCGCACAACAGCCCTGGTTGCCCTGAGTCTATTCCAGCTCATAGTGATCCTATAGGAAGGACAGGGTAGGACCGCCCTATAGTGTTTCCAAGCCAGCCAAGCAGACTGCTGCATCTTTTTCCTGTGGAGCAGGTGGTGGGTTCAAACTGCCGATCTTTCAGTTAGCAGCCAAGCACTTTAACCACTGCGCCACCAGGGCTTCCACAGCACCCCAGTGCACTGTTACTAGCCAAGGTGCCAAGGCCAGACCTGAGCTGTGGAAGACCTGGCTTCACTGCAGGCAGAAGGTGGAGGCGTGCCTGGCTAGGTTCACTGCACCTCTGCCAATCCTGAGCAGCACTCAACTACAGAGACATCTTGGGACTAAGCATGAACTCTGGAGTCAGACTGCTGTATCATCTTGGGAAATCACTTCATCTTTCTGGGCCCCAATATTCATTTAATAAATTTACATGCTTGCTGTGTGCCAGGTATTGTCTTAGATGCTGGAATAGGAAGTTTAGGGGGTTGGGGAGGTGCTAAAGTTTTAGGGCATCCAAGGAAAGCATCATTGAGAAGGTGGCACTGAAGAAAGTAAAGGAGTGAGCCATGCAGATGTCTAAGGGAAGAGCATTCCATCCAAAGGCCCCAAGCTGCGGTATATCTGGCAGGATCGAAGAACAACAAGGAGGTCAGTGTGTCTAGAAGCCAGTAAGTGAATGAGTGAGGGGAAGAGTAGTAGTAGAGGAGGTCAGGTTGGAAACCCATTTCCAGATCATCTAGAACCTTGTTGTGTGCTGTTGAGTTGATTCCAACTCATAGCAATCCCATGTGATGGAGTAGAACTGCCCCATAGGATTTTCTTGGCTGTAATCTATGGAAGCAGATCACCAGGTCTTTCTCCCAAGGAACCACTGGGTGCATTCAAACTGCCACCCTTTCAGTTAGCAGCTGAGCGCTTAACAGTTGTGCCACGAGGGCTATTTATAGATTGTATTTTGGGAGTAGGGTGCTGCTCTAACAGATAACGTAAATTATGGACGAGATTTTGGAATTAGGTAATGGGTGGAGGCTGGAAGAGTTTTAAGGTGCCTAATAGCAAAAGTCTAGATTGCCTTGAAGAGACTGTTGGTGGAATTATGAACATCAAAGGGCCCAGAAGGAAGTGAGGAGAGCTGTAAAACCAGAGACAGTGCAGACGGTGAGAAGCAGCGGCAGAGAAACAATGGCAGCAGAAGCAGGAGACAGGCACAAAACGATGCAGGAGTCGACCCACGGAGTGAGAGGAGCTGAGCGCCTTTGGGCCAGGATTACCGGTGGAGTGTGGTGCCTCTGGGCACTTATCAGTAGAGCTAAAAGAGCTTTGTAACACTTGCCCAAGCAGGACAGAGGCCAGGCTGGCCCAAGAGGCCAAGGGGACCGGGGCTGAGGGCCAGGGAGAAGCTATGAGCACGGCCGAGAAGCTGTCCTGACTGAAGAACTGTGCAGGAAACAGGCCAAAGGAGCTATATCTGTTGTCCTCCAAGAAAAGAAAAGAACCATCCCTGGAGCAGCTTGGAGATCAGTAGAATGTTGGACGGCACACAGGAAGCAGAGCTGCCTTGGTCTAAAAAGGTAGGGCTACAGCTTCTGGAGTCTCAAAGGGTGGAACCACAGCCTGCTGGGTATCGAAGGGTGGGGCCACAGCCTCCGAGGTTTCAAAGAGTTGAATCTTTGACAACTTGGTCCTGGAGTATGGAGCTGCTGTTAAAATGGGGTCTCAGCCCAAAGCTGAGGGGGTGGGGCTGCCATGCCCAAGGGGACAGAAGAACTGGGCCTGCTGGGGCTGAGGGAGTAGGGTCACCACTCAGAAGGACTAGGAGAATGGAGCCTCCAAAGCCAGGGGAGCAGAGTTGCCATCCCAGCAGGCCTGGAAAGTGGAGCTGAAGTCCAGGGCCAAGGGGCCTCCACCCAGAATCCAGCGAGCATGGCCAAGGACCAGAGTCTGGAGGGTAGGGCTATTGCCTAGATGGTCTCAGAGAACAGAGGATTATTTTCAAGCCTTAAGAGCTAATGTAAATTGTTCTGCTGGGCTTTGGACTTGCTTGATGCCTGTTATCCCTTCTTTCCCTCCAATTTCACCCATTTGTAATGGAAATGTCTACCTTGTGCCTATTCCCCCATTGTACTTTGGAAACATAACTTTTAGTCTAAATTTCCCAGGTTCCCAGATGAAGAGGTGTTTTGCCCCGGGATGCACAACGCCTAAAGTCTCACCCATATTGGATTTAGATGATTCAGAAGATGAGACTTTGGACTTGGAGACAATTTAAGACATTTTGGATGATGTGATGGGGTGAATGTGTTTTACATGTGGCAAGGACATGAATTTTTGGGGGTCGAAGGGTGGAATGTCATGGATTGAACTGTGCCTCCAAAAAAATGCATGTCAACTTAGCTAGGCCATGGTTCCTAGTATTGTGTGGTCGTCCTCCTATTTTGTGATCTGATGTAATTATGTGTTGTAACCCCTAGCCTCTATGCCTGTGGTTATGGTGCCATTTGGGAGTGAGTTGTCTGTTACGTTAATGAGGCATGATTAAGTTATGTTAATGAGGATTAGGGTGGAATGCACCACCCTTGCTTGAGTCACATTTTATCTCGTTGTTAGGTACCATCAAGTCGGTTCTGACTCATTGCGACCCTAGACCGTATGCACCACAGAACAAAACACTGCCCGGTCCTGCACCATGCTCACAATCATTGTTATACTTGAGCCCGTTGTTGCAGCCACTGTGTCAATCCATCTCGTTGAGGGTCTTCCTCTGTTTCACTGACCCTCTACTTTACCAAGCATGATGTCCTTCTCCAGGGACTGATCCCTCCTAACAACATGTCCAAAGTATGTAAGACGTAATCTCACCATCCTTCCTTCTAAGGAGCATTCTGTTGTACTTCTTCCAAGACACATTTTATCTTATAAGAGATAAAAGGAGAGAGACACAAGCAGAGAAGACGGACCCCTTACCACCAAAAAAGAAGAGCCGGGAGAGGACTGCATCCTTCGCAACCAGGGTCTCTGTGCTGAGAACCTCCTGGACCCAGGGGAAGACTGATGCCAAGACACACGGAGATGTCCAAGGAACGCCGAGCCCACAGATGTTGAAAGGAGACTAGGATCTTACCTTAGAGCCAACAGAGAGAAAGCTTTCCCCTAGAGCTGGTGCCCTAAATTTGAACTTCTAGCATCCTAAACTGTGAGAGAATAAATTTCTGTTTGTTAAAGCCATCCACTTGTGGTATTTCTGTTATAGCAGCACTAGATAACTAAGACAGAATTAATAGATCATTTTTTTTTTTTGGCCTTTACTCTGAGATTGGAAACCACTGAATAGGGAAGTGACATGACCTGATGCATTTAAAGAGATCATTCAGCTCTAAGACAATTCAAGGGAGAAAAAAAAATTTTTGACAAATGATACTAGAAAAATTGGGAATATGTGTGGGAAAAATTAAATCTCAACCACTACCTCAAAAGAAGATTGAAGGCATACACAAAGTCACTGTGCCAAACAGAATTGGTCACCGTTCAACCATTTCAGGAGGTAGCAAATGATCAAGAACCAATGGTATTGAAGAAGTCCAAGCTGCACTGAAAGTATTGGCAAAAAACAATGTTTCAACAAGCAGATTCAACACTGGAAGCACTCACTTGTCTACGCCAAGAAATTTGGAAAACAGCTACCTGGCCAACTGACTGGAAGAGATCTATATTTGTGCCCATTCTGAAGAAAGGTGATCCAACAGAATGCAGATTATCAAACTATCATTAGTATCACACACAGGTAAAATTTTGCTGAAGATAATTCGAAAACAGTTGCAGCAGTACATGGACAGGGAACTGCCAGAAATTCAAGCTGAATTCAGAAGAGAAGTGGAACAGAGGATATCACTGCTGATATCAGATGGATCTTGGCTGAAAGCAGAGAATACCGGAAAGAATGCAAAGGCATTCAACTGTAGATTGTAACAAACTATAGATAACTTTGTGAAAAAATGGGAATTCCAGAATAATTAATTGTGCTCATGAGGAACCTGTACATAGACCAGGAGGCAGTTGTTCTAACAGAACAAGAGGATATTCTGTGGTTTAAAGTCAGGAAAGATGTGCATGGGGGTTGTATCCTTTCACTGTACTTATTCAATCTGTGTGCAGAACAAATAATCCGAGAAACTGGACCATATGAAGAAGAACTCAGCATCAGAATTGGAGGAAGACTCATTAACAACCTGTGATATTAAGATGACACAACCTTGCTTGCAGAAAGAGAAGAAGCACTTACTGATGAACATCAAAGACTACAGCTTTCAATATGGATTACACCTCAACAGAAAACAAAAATCCTCACAACTGGACCAAGAAGCAACATCATGATAAATGGAGAAAAGATTGAAGTTGTCGAGAATTTCATTTTACTTGGATCCACAATCAACGACCATGGAAGCAGCAGTCAAGAAATCAAATGATGTATTGCACTGGGCAAATCTGCTGCAAAAGACCTCTTTAAAGTGTCAAAAAGCAAAGATGTTACCTTGAGGACTAAGGTGCACCTGACGGAAGCCACGGTATGCATGTGAAAGCTGGACAATGAATAAGGAAGACTGAAGAAGAATTGATGCCTTTGAATTGTGGCATTGGCAAAGAACCTTGAATAGACCATGGACTGCCAGCAGAACAAACAAATCTGTCTTGGAAGAAGTACAACAAGAATTCCCCTTAGAGAATGAATAACACCAAAGACACAAGGAAAGTATTAGCCCAAGAGACAGAAAGGACCACATAAACCAGAGACTTCACCAGCTGGAGGCCAGAAGATCTAGATGGTGCCTGGCTACC